AATTAAATTATTTATAAATAAAAAAAGAAAAAATACGTCTAACGCGAAAAGTTTTAATAATTAAAAAAAGAATATTATATTAAAAAATATCGCGATATTTTAAAATTACTATTAGCGCGATAATCTTCTTATTCTATAACTTAAAATACTTTAATTTATTAAAGAAATTATTAAGAAAAAATATATCTAACGCGAAAAGTTTTAATATATAAAAAAAATTATATATTAAAAAAAATTATAATATTTTAATATTATTATTAGCGCGATAAGCTATTTATATTATACTTAAAGTATTTCTATTTAATAAAAAAGAAATTATTTATATATCTTAATTTATAATTATTTTATAGATTTAGAGAGTTATTAAGCTTATATTATAATAGAATTATTATAAAGAGATTTTATAAATAGTATTCTCTCTTTTAAATCGTTATTTTATTTAATATTTAATTTTATTTAATATTATTATAAAGTAAGTCTCTTACTATATAAATATTATAATAAAAAAAAAGAATATTATTATTTATTATATATAAGTCTTTAAAGAATATAGAATTTAATATATTTAAAAGAAGATATTATAGATAGAAGAGCTTTTTAGCGTTTAAATTAATATAGTATATTCTTTTAATAATATCTCTACGCCTCTAATATAAACTTTATTTAAATATATCTCGCTTATTTTTTTTAGATATATTATATCGATAGATTAATATAGAAGAAATCTTTTATTTATCTTTATTATTAACGCTTTTAATTTAATTAAAAGAAAACTATTAGCTTAATCTAATATTTATATTCTATATTAATTATATAAAATAAATTATTATTATTATTAAATATTATACTTTATTAATTTAAAAGATAAATAAATAATTATTTAATAGAAGAATTATAATTATATAATTTAAAGCTAAAAATCCTTTAATAGACTTTTATAGAGTCTATTTACTATATATCTTAATACTCTTAAATCTTATTTATCTAATCTAAATCTATATTATTCTAATTTATATTATTTTTATACTCTATTTAAAAATTAATTTAATTATTACTCTTATAAATATATTTAAAAATATATTTATAGATTTTAATATTAATATAAATCTTTATATTAATATAAGCGTTATATTTAATTAATAAATAGAGATTATAAAATATTATCTAATAATTCTATTTAAATTTATTATTTAATATCTTAATAGATCTATATTAATAATATATAAGATATTTAAAATTTAATTTAAAAACGATATAATCGCTAAAATTCTTCGAAAATTATTTATTATATATATTTTTATCTAAGTTCTAATAAGATAAAATAATATCTATTTTATTAATAGTATATTAGCTATAATTTCTATAAAGTATATATCTAATAATAATTATATAGAGATTAAGAAATAGATTTTAATTAGAGATCTTAATATTAATAGCGATATTTATCTTAGTAATATTAAAGAATTAATCTTTAAAATATAATATAATAAAAATATAAATATATAATAAATCTTATTTTTAAAATTTAATAATATAGATATAAATTAAAACTCGATTTATTACTTATAAAGTTAATTAGAATTAAAATTAATCGATATTTTAATTAATTATACTTCGCTTTTATAGAGATAAAATAAAAATTTTTTAAATAATATTATAGAGTTAATTAATAGAAATTATAACGTATAGTAGATTAAATTATATTAGAAGTATCTTTAAAGATTATAACTTATACTAATTATCTAATTAATATATTATCTAAAAAACTACTTTATTAAATAAGATAAGAAAAAGTTATTATATTATAATAGAGAATAAAAAGAATAAAAATATATCTATTATTTTTTTCTTTAGAATATTATTTATAAAGGTTTTTAGCTTTAATCTAAATACTCTAATAATTAAATTAGATTAATTAATAATGCGTTTATTAAATAGAAGATTTTTAATAATTTTAATTTATTTTAAATTATAGATAAAAGTTATAAAGAGATTTAATTAATCGAACTTAATAAATAGAATAATAGTATTTTAATAGAGTTATTTTATAAATTATAAATTTTCTTAATAGAAGAAAGAGAAAATAATATATTATTTATTAGTTTAATTATCTATAATAACTTTATTAATATAAATATTAATAATTACTTAATAGATATTAATTTAAATAATCTTCTAATTTATCTTTAATTAATAAAGTTTATTATTTTTAATAATTATATAGATATTATAGATAAAATATTATAATAATCTATTATAATAAAAAAGATAATTAAACTTATTAAAATAATTCTATATTATATATTTATAAAAAGTTAACGATTAATAGAATAGAAGAAATAAATAATATAGATCTATAATATAAGATAAGTGTTATTTATATAAAGCTATCTTAATTAATAGTTTTATTAATTTATAAAATAATTTTATTATTACTACGTCGATAGATAAGAAAACTCTTATTTAATATAATATTTATATTAGATATATTATTATATTATAACTATTTATTAAATAAGAAGATAATAGAGTAGTATAAGAGTATATAGATTAAATATTAATATAAAATACTAAATCTCTTATTACTTTAAATCTCTATTAAGATATTCTTAATCTTAGATAAATTAAGTAAATTATTTATATTACTCTTTTAAGCGATAGCAATTTTATCTAAAATAAAATAATTATAAATACGCGAATTATAATATTATAAATTCTTATAAAATAGCTTATAGTCTCGTATACTTAAATTAACCTTTAACTTTTTAGATATTAATTTAAAAATAATAATATATAAATTAATACTTTTAAAATTTATAATTATTTTATAATAAAGTATTTAATTAATATAATTATAATAGCTATATCTAGTAAAGTTAATATAAGAAATATAATTAAAAGAAAGTTATATTATATTATAAATTAATTTTAAATATTATTTATAATATAGATTTAGTTAAAGATCGATTTTTCGCTTTTTAAAGATATTAGAATAGATATATAAGTAGTAATTACTTTTTAAACTTTATATATATATATAAAGTGACTAAATAATTAATAGTAATCTATTATAAGATTATAGAAGTTATATTATTATACTAAACGCTATAGCGATAAAATTCTTTATAATTATTAATAAAATTTAAGGTCTCTAGCGTTAAAGAATAAAGAATTTAATTAATAATATACTCGCTAAGATTAATCAAATTATTTATACTTATTTCGACGCTCTTATAACTCTATTCTATATTATTTACTTCTTAATTAATATCTATTTTAAATATATTAACTTTAATCTTTTCGCTATCGTAGTATTATTTAATTATCTTATCTTTCTATAACGCTATATTATAGCTATTATAAATCTAATTTATAAAATTTAAATTATATTATATAGACTTTATAATATATAGATAATACGCGATATAATTAGCGAGCCTTATTAAAGACTAAGTAGAACTTAAATAAAAGTTAAAAGATAAGTTAAAAGATCGTAAGCTATCGAAAAAGTTATTATTAAAAAAGTCTAATAATAGATCTTATAATAGAGAGTCTTCGATAGCGTCTTTCTCTTATTTAGAAGCTTCTTCTTAATAATATTTAAAATTTAATATACGTTAAGAGACTTTAAAATAGAGTAATAAAGAATAAATAGAGAAGAAAAATGCGTTTTAGAAGATAGTATTATTAGATTAAAAGATATTATTATTAATTTAAAAGAAGTATATAAAGAAGAATATATTTATTTAAGCTCTTTTAAAGAATCTTCTAGAATATTTATAAGTAGTAGTAAATAGCTATTAAGCTCGCTTATAATCTTAATTATTAGTAATAATAAATTTATTAAGAAATAATTTAAGAGTATTAATAGAGGCTCTAAGAGATAGATAAAGAAATATATATATCTTAGATATTAAGTAATCTTTAAACGAGAGATATTAAAAATAATTATATTTATATTAATAAAATTAATAGAATTAATAGAATAGTAAAAGAATAATAATTATATAAATAGATAAAAGAATTATTATCTAATTCTAAACGCGTCTAATATAATTACTATAATTATTATATTTAAATATTAATTTAATTTACTAATAGTAGATTAAACTTTATTATTTTTATAGCGTTAGAAAGCGTATACTAAGCTCTATAATTTACGAAATCTAGAGAGATAGTTATTTTAGAGTATAAGACTTTTATATATAAATTTTTAATAAGAGAGACATAAGAGGGCTATTAAACTAACTTAGTCGATCTAATTAAAAAGCGTATAGAACTCGAATTAATAATTAACTATATATATAAATTTAAGATTTTCAAGCTTAGCTCTATCTTATTCTATTATATATATTAATAATTATTTATAAAAATTATAATTTTAAATTTAGAAAAAAAATTTTTTTTTAAAAAAATTTTTAAAAAAAAAAATAATCCTTTTTTTTTTTTTAAAAAAAAAAAAAAAAAAAAATATATTTTAAAAATTTTATAAATTTAAAAAAAAAAAAAAAAAAAAAAAAAAAAAAAAAAAAAAAAAAAAAAAAAAAAAAAAAAAAAAAAAAAAAAAAAAAAAAAAAAAAAAAAAATATTTAAAAAAAAAAAAAAAAAAAAAAAAAAAAAAAAAAAAAAAAAAAAAAAAAAAATATTTTAAAAAAAAAAAAAAAATTTAAAAAAAAAAAAAAAAAAAAAAAAAAAAAAAAAATAAAAAAAAAAAAAAAAAAAAATTAAAATAAATAAAAAAAAAAAAAAAAAAAAAAAAAAAAAAAAAAAAAACCCAAAAAAAAAAAAATTAAAAAAAAAAAAAAAAAAAAAAAAAAAAAAAAAAAAAAAAAAAAAAAAAAAAAAAAAAAAAAAAAAAAAAATTTTTTTTTTTTTTTTTTGGTTAAACGGGAGGGGGAGGGGGGAAAAAAAAAAAAAAAAAAAAAAATTTTTTTTTTTTTTTTTTTTTTTTTTTTTTTTTTTTTTTTTTTTTTTTTTAGCCGCTTTCGATCGCAGCAAGAATGACAGAACGCAGAACAGCCCATGGGCCTGGGCCTGATACCAAGGGTGGCGGCTTTAGAGGCGGACCAAAGCGGTGGACCGGCGGTGGGCCTGCGCCCGCAAGACACATACCATGGCCGGAGGTATGACATACTGAACCCCAAAGATAACGTAGCTTACAAGTCGCGTGTCAGATCTTTAAGCACCACATCTCCGTTGTCGAAGGCCATCTGAAGATGATTGACATGGTCCGGAAGCACACCGTCGAAGGATCGGGCAATTACCGCACGATCATGGGCTGTGTGGATCGAGCGAAGGAGATGCTACAAGTCTCGAAGCAGATCTCGAGAACGTTTGTATGGACACTTTGAGCTCATGATACAGTGGCTATATACTAACAAGAACTAGGTCCCACCATCGAACCATCGTGAGCAAGTGCCATTGGGATCTTCTTCCGCCTCTATGTATCCCGGATACTCGCCCGCGGATCATGAGTATGGAAAAGCGGCCGAGGAGTATGGCAAAGCTGCTGCGGAAGCCAGAGCTGAGGGTATAGAGCTGAAGCACCCAGATGCCGAATACGTAATTGGTCAGGCTAAAGGCGTTAAGAGAAGAACATTGGCGGGCATCCGGGAAGCGCAGGCTGCTAAGGGTAAGGCAAGTGGCAGTGGCAGTGGAAGTGGTAGGGGCTCAGGATCTGAGGGCCCTATGAAGCAGGAACCCAGAAAGTCGGCTACCGCGAACGGGAAAGCGAGTACTGAGAAGGTTCAAGAAGCCACTCTGGAAGGCGATAATCCATATTTCATCATCGACACCAAGCCTACGCCTGTCTACATACCAGGAATGTCCCTCCAATCTCTCAAACGAAGCGCCTGTCCTCCAGAAGCTCTCGAAGCTAAGAAGCATAAGAAAGCAAAGAACAGGCATGACGGCGACCTACCTAGAGGCGAAGACACGCAGGAGGCCAAGACCGAAGACATATCTGACCAGGTGGATGCGCGGATGAAGGAGAAGGAGAGAAAGCGGAAGATGAAAGAGGAGAAGAAGCGCAAGCGGGAATCAGAAGACGAGCCTGCCGTAGGGTCTGAGGATTTTCAGCCCGCTGTCGAAGCTTCTGCCAGCGCCGCAGAGGCGGAGAGCCCTAAGAAGAAGAAGGCTAAGCAGACTGAGGAAGAGGCGCTACCAGATCGGACTGCGTCGAAGAAGCGACTTGGCGAGGACAAGGGGGAAGCAGAGGATGGCGAGGGCAAGAAGAAGAAAAAGCGAAAGAAGAGTAAGGATTCGGCAACAGCTAGTGATGGATAAGCTCATTGTTGCTTTGAAGCCTGTAGCAAGAGTGATTTACTGGCTACCTTAGCATGTTCCTCGATTAAGTACCTTAGGAGTTAGGACTCTAGGAGAATGATGTACGTAGGTCCTTCTTGATCTACGGCAGGGTTTATGGATACTAAGAATTGGCGGCTGTACTTTATTAAAGCTTCTTTTGACCTATATATATGAAGATGAAGTAAGGTAAGATTTATACATGTAACTTGAAGCCGAATATCACGCATGTAGAACTAAGATACTGTACCTTACTAACTGTCAAGATATAAGATATCTAAATGTTGCGGAATGCTACTGTAGCTTCTCATTGCCTACTTTATCTATCTACGTCAGCTTTTATCTCCGCGTTATGTGTTACCTGCCCGATGATTTATGATTTATGATTTATGATTTATGATTTACTGCCCAACCTGCCTTTTTCTCCCTCTTCCTTCCTCACCCAATAAGCTCATTCCGTCGCCGCGCTTTTCCATTCATTTGCCTGTCTATCTCCAAAACATCAACGGCTGAATTCCTTGACGAATCATCATACTTTAGCGTTCGAGACAGCCCTGCATCTGCATCTTCTCAATCTCCGTACCCGCTCTTCCTCCGTATCCTCATCTGCTTACCGCGCTCCCCGTTGACTCCACTCGGGTTAAGTTTGCCTTTTCAGATCACAAGAACTTTTGAGAAGTACTTGGTCTTTTCTGAAACACTCTTCCCTGTGACGCCATCCAAGAACCTTGTACTCCACACGGGACAACCTTGCACCGTGCTCTCACTGGGACCTCTCAAAAGCAGGCTGCCGCTTCTCGAACCTCTTTTTCCACTGACACCATCCACAATGCTTTCGACTCCACCCAGGATAACCCTGCCTTTTCTGATCACTTGGACTTTTCAGAAGCGAATCTCTACCTTTTGAAACATTCCTCCCCGTTGATGCCATCCAGGTCTCGGATCCTGTTTGACTCCGCACACGAGAACGTTGAACACAAAGGCCTTCTAAAAGCAGAGCGTTGCTTCCGAAACATCTTTGTCCGCCGACAATTGCCGCCAATCCCAAACTTTCCGCTCTCTGGCCACATTGATCGCCATGGGCACAAGAGCAGAGCAGCTACAGACGCCATCAACAGCAATCAAAGAGACCAAAGAAAGCTCCGATCACAAGATGCCTCTCTCCCCAACCACTAAATCGCCGCCTCCATCCTCGAACCCGAACACAAACCCCGGTTCCAGTCCTGGTGCTGCAGGACAGTCCCGCTGGGTCCCAATGCCCTGCGAGCCAACCAGAATAAGCACCACGAGGAAAAACCCATCCATAGAAAGGTTCCTGGGCAGCTCTCATGGACATTTCGTGCGCGGCGTATTTTCCGCAACCAGCGACGGTTCATCCGCGCAAGGCTCAGGAACCGAAAGTGGACTTCCATCCGCTTCGAATCCCACACCGAAGTCATTCAGCCGCTCGACTGTTGAATCTTTACTTGCTGTGTTGAGTAAGATTGGAGTCTGGTACTTGAATATAATCACTGCACTTTTCGGGGTTGATGCTTGGGCAAGATTGATGCAGCGGACTGCAGAGATAATACCCAGCACTGAGAGTGCTGTAGCTGCAGCACCTCCGGATGTCATCAAGACTGTACCAATGCCACTGTTTCCAATCCGTGTATTCTACGGGAAGCCTCCTCCGTTTTCTCTTGAAGCACAAAAGCGCAAGATGCGCTGGAGATACCGTTGGTTTTTTGACCTTGCCCCGGAAATCATCCAGCAGCCAGATATCCAGCGCATCCAAGAGACCGTTCAACAGTATATTGATTTCATCGCCCCAGAGACGGAAGCAATTTCCGTGGAATTGTTGGCGCAAGGAGCTTTCAATCAAGCATACAATATTACTGCCGAGAACAAGGCTACAGGGTTTTGCAAGGAATACGTCTTCCGTGTTGCGCTACCTATCTATCCCCATTACAAAGTTGAGAGCGACGTCGCCACGACCGAATTCGTCAGGCATACGACTACTGTGCCTGTCCCCATCATTTACGCTTTCGATTCTTCTCCGAGCAACAAGCTTGGCTTCGAATGGATGCTTATGGAGAAGGTCAAAGGGGTATCACTCTACGACGTATGGGATACGATGGGGTACAGTACCAAGCAGGAGCTCACCAAAGTTGTTGCAAAGTGGATGGATCAGCTCTCGCGACTCAAATTCAACACAACTGGTTCTCTCTACTGCCGTCTAAGAGCTCGTCAGATGGAGTTCTACATGGGACCTACGTTACATAGCCGACTGTACGAAGGTGATAGGCTTCTGCATGACATTCACCGAGGACCTTTTGAATCACTCCTTGCCCTTTATGATGCAGTGCTCGATGCAACAGAGAGACACATTAATGATCCCAGACATAGCGCTCGTCTTGCGCTGGAAGCTGCGATGTCTGACGAAGAACCGTCGAGTTCGGAAGACGGATCATCTGATAATCCTCAGCAAGCTGGCCAGAAGTCTGAAGAAGAGATTTTGGATGAAGCAGACGAGGAGGACCGAAGGAATGAGCGACACTACGGCGTTACAGAGGTCAATCTATCGTGGCTACCCGAGGAGCTACGAACCTATAGGAATCTACTACCAAAACTGTGCCCGTCTACCCCCGAGCCGATGATTACAATGCTCACGCACCCTGATCTTTCGACCCCAAACATTTTCGTCAACGAATCTGGCGTACCAGTGGCTCTGATAGACTGGGAAAGAGCTCGGATCGAGCCAACTGCCCTTTTCAACGCCTTGCCACAATTCTTGACCAATGACTTCGGTAACGACCCAGACTACTTCTACGTCCCTACAGGGCCTACGATTAGCGGCGAAAAAAAGCGACCTAAGGTCTACTTCTACGGGGATGACCATCTGGCACGAATAAGGGGCCAGAGTGAAAAGACCTATACGCAGGTCATGGGCAGGATTCAGAAGACCCACCTTCGCGCACTCTATCAAGAAGAGCTGAAGCGATTGCAATCTCCGATATGCAAGGCCTTGAATCGAGACCCAGAGAGCTTAGAGCAGCAGCTGATCAGCCGAATCTACTGGCCAGACAATGCACCGCCTAACTCTGCTACCGACTGGGCGGTAGAGCATCTTGGCGAGTCAATCCTGGCTGACTCGAATCAGGAGCACGCTAATGAAGACGAAGAGGAGCTCGAGGAAGGCGGAGAAAAACGAGATGCATAACGTTGTAGATAACACAACGGTTAACACTATTGGTACCTAATGCCCTCCGTGTAAACCAATCTCCAATCATTAGCAAGTGATCATACGCCCATTCTTCGGTTTCTAATCCCTCTATTCTGCAAAAATGTTGCTGTGCCGAGCTCGTTTGCCTTTCATTGGTCTTCGTACTTCGCCCAGGATAAGTCTAAAAAGCCTCATAGGGAAGACCCAGGGCCGGACTGGTGCGCAGAACCTTGGGGGTTAAGCAGCCGCTCTACATTATTCCGATCCTACCTCACGTTTCACTCTGCATATTTATGGACGGACATGAGGCAATAATGACTCATGAGAACTCCTGATTGTATGCATATGCCGGAACATTAAGGGCGCTCAGCCAAGCGACCTGCATGTCGCCGTCCGACTCTCCATCTCAAACGGGCAGCTGTTTGAGACAGGATCAACAGACATTGAGGTAATCGGTTGGGTTCCTTGCCGCTGCCTTGGGCAAAATACATGCGTGTTTCAAGTTAGATAGTTGACATATGGACAGTCTTGGAGGGTCCCAGTTGTGAAACGTTGGGGACATCGAGCCGTGCATTCGGTCGTGCTCGTGATCCTACAAGCCAACCTCTGATCAAATGTTGCGGCTTCCCCTCCCTTACCCCCCAAAATCTCTCCCTCTTCTCGATAATTCCAACCCTCATCTTTCGAGGAAACCCCCTCCGATCCTTCCCAAGCCTCACTGTTTGTTTACATCCAGACCCTTGCACTTTGCCAAATCATGGCTGCCCTCAACACAAAAAGCCGCGCAAATTACGAGGAGTGGCTTGAGAGCATCGACGATAACGACCTGAAAAGCTTTGTCTTCGCTAACACCGCTCTCGAAGTCGAGTTCGGATCTGACGATTTCAAGCTCGTCTATTCTGGCGTATGCCCAAATCTATCGTCCCCCCACCCCCACAAAAGCTCACACACTGACATCAACATCGACCAGGTATCCGAAGGCGAACCGGTAGACTGCCACATGATCGAAGCCCGCGTGAACGGCAAGACGAAGGACAAACAGCTCAAGAAGTTTGTCAAGACCACCGGATCGCTAGCCAAGATCCGGACCTGTTTGGCATTCGCGCTCTTCCCGAGGGCCACGGCGGACTACTGCTTGGGCAATTACGTGCGGGAGGCGCTGCAGGCAAGCCCGGTCAAGGGCGAGGCCGTCGTGAACAAGGTGCACGTCCAGCTGAGTCCGAGCGTGACATGGGAGGGCGATCAACCCTTGGCCGAGGTCGGCACCCCGCCCTTTGTCTTCGAGAAGATCCCGTTCCCCGGACACAAGGTGGACGGTACCACCAGGGGGTGCGATAAGTGAGTAAGGTAACTAGGCCGGATTTGGACTGCAACCGAGGCCTCGAGGAGTGGGAGGGTAATTTTCTGAAGGAAATCTAGGCTAGAGTAGATGAGATGCCTGAGCGATGTGCTTGGCTAGTGAATAATGGTGGTAAGGGCATTAAGTCGGCGACATGGTAATCAAGTAGCATGCGATAGACGGAAATGTAGCCATTCAATGCTGGAGAAGCTATGTCCAAATCCGGCCTAGTTACCTTACTCACTTCTTGCACCCCCTGGTGGTACGGTGGTTTCGAAGAAGGACAGGGACAAGAAGTGAAAGTGGTCGCGGGAAGCGGCGGCGGCGGCGGCTCTTCCCGGTGGGACGCGGCACGGAGCGCGCGGAACCCGGGCGGCATCGCCATCTGGTGTGGGAAATCAGCGCGCGCCGTGGATACGGTGGGATGGGGATTGCTCCATGTCGATGGGGTTAGAAGCTATGCATGCGACAGTTCTTACCCGTAGGAAGGGGCGTTTGCCGTAAGGACGATGGATTGTGATCTGATCGGAAGCTATGCGTGCGACATTCTGACTTGTTCGAAGGGGATGTTGCCGCTGGACGGGGATATGTTGATGTAATGTAAAGCTATGCTTGCATGCATCGTCAGATAGGGATATTACCGCTGGAATAGAATGTTTTAGTATATTTAGAAGCTACGCATGCATCGTCAGATAGGAAGATTATCGCTAGACGAGGATATTTTAACATAATCAGACGAAGTTTTAACTCATTCGAAGGGAATATTACCGCTGAAAAGAGATATCTAAATATATTTCAAAGCCACACATACGCGATTAAAAAAAAAACATCACCGCCAATCCCGTCCCCTTCACCAAACATCTCACCTACCTTACAAACTATAAATCATCCTCCCTAAAAGAAACAACCACCGCGAAACAATCTAGACTTCAACCCCACACACGCATAACCACTCGACCTATAAACCCTCCCCCCTCCCCCCTCCCACTTCCACCCATCCCAAGCTCCTCCTCCTCACCACCATCAAAGCGTGCTAGACTCAAACATCCTACCCGTAACCTTTCCCCGGGACCAACTTCGGCGGAGCCTGACTCTGCGTCCGTTATCGATCAAATGGGCCCTGTGATCTGGCGAGGGGGATGGGGATGGGGACGGTACGGCGAGGGGGAGATGTTGGGAGGGGGGAGGGGATTAGGAGCTTGATTTGGGCTTTTAGGGAGGGGTGAGTGCTGTGGGAAGGATGCGTGAATGTTGAGGGTTTGATTCCTGGAGGTTCGGCCCAGGTTTAAGCTTCTCGCGCCTCAGAGTGCTGTAATGTCAAAGGTAGTGACCGGAACGTGTCTGCAAGGTCAAGTTCGAAGATCGTGATTCTACACCTATCATCTACCAAGCAGCGCCGGCGTCAAAATCAAACCTCGTCAGCTCCTTCCCCGCATCTTCGACGTCCTTCTTCGCCTTCATGCGCATGTAGAATATGGGGCAATCCTTGCTGGAGCAGATGACCTCGTTGTGCAAACTCCCCTGGCACCGCTGGCACTGCGTCCATAATCTGCCGAACCGTATCTCCAACTCGCTGACTTTGGTGAGGGTCTTTGTGTACAGCTCTCCTGTCCTGGGCCGGCAATTGCTGCAGACAGCCCCCGCCATTTCCTCTTTGCCAACAAGCGGCTTCTTACAACCCATACAGGTTTGGGTCTTTTTGGCGAATTTCATCAGACCACCCAGCGTAGGTGCAGCGACCGAGATCGACCGAGTATGTTCGCCGGTGAGGAGCTGCCCGGCTTTCTTCTCGCCCAGTATCGGGTCGAAGATCCTGCCAAGTGGCTTGGCAAGCTGATTGTCGAGGTAATACTTCGTATCAATGGGGATGTTGTTCTCAAGGACGAAGATTGGGTCTTCGCTCCTCTCGTAGTTCTTGGCGCCACCGGCACCCTTGACGATAACGTAGGCTACACGATCGCCGAGTGTGGGAGCTGAGCCGGCGTCTCGCTTCTTCATTCGATCGGCAAGCTCGACATGAGCTTGTTTGTTGGCGTAGTCGGATTTTGAGAGAGCTTTCGTGATGACGAGTTTGGACATATCGACCTTGTTTTGAAGAAGGTCGGAGATGGTGTCTTTGACATAACTAGAAAAAGAAATAACATCATCAGCGTGGCTATGGGCAGACAAGGCCAGGTGAGGTACATACTCTTGCGCGCCCTGCACGTCTTGGTCGATCAGGATCTTGTGGAGGATGGTTTCAATGACGTTCTGAACCAGGCGGCAGTTGTCTCTGCGTACAGTCTCAATGCCCTTGCTGTCCATCTTGTCGAACTTCTCCGGGGTCGTCCAGTACAGACCAGCGTAGCGCTTCTTGTTGATGAGCAAGTACGGGAAGTAGACTTTCTCGAACTCCAATTTAATTGGCTTGATGAACTTATCAGAGACATATGTTGCAGCGTCCCGACCAAGGTCCATGGTTTTCTCTAGGTCCTTGGGTCCAAACTTGACCATGACTGAGTCGGTATCACCATAGATGACCTGCGCATCATGAGAGTATCCGTTGGCTATGGTATACCGCTTCTCGACTTCCTCCTTTGTCCTCTCAATCATCTGCCTCCCGTAGCTGGTCGTACTACTGGCAATGGCGAGACAGGGTAATTTTCCGACTGTGGCTCCGGTAATACCGTATACACTGTTCGCACTGACCTTTAAAGCCAGCTGTCGACCATTAAGCACAGCCTTTTTGAACGTATCAGTCTCAACGGCCAACTCTTTCTTGGCTCGTTTTCTCGCTCCCAGCAACTCCTCGAGAATCTGCGTCAGCAGGCCTTTCCGGATCTTTGAGGTGCAGAACATGTCACCGTTGGGAGTGACAATATAGTCCTCATCTTTGACCAGATGCAACTTTTCGACACTCGCCTTGTTGAGCAAGGTAGTATAGCAAAGATTGTGAGCTTGTATGATACTAGGATATAGGGAAGCGAAATCAAGCGTTGCGATCGGAACATCATAATAGCCTCTTGTGGGCTCGATGACGGTAGCACCTTCGTATTGTTCATCGGATGCGTCACTTCGTAAATTGGGGATGACCAGGTGCTGTTCCAAAGCTTTCCGGAAGAGTTGGCTTATGAATTTGACCTGCTGTCCTCTTGCAAGCAAGTAATTGAACGGGACACCTGTGACTCTGGCCATCTCTGTATAGTTGACTAGACACATGAGCTTGTCCATCAGCCGTTGTGGCAGAAAGGCATCTTTCAGGCAGTAGACAGCCAGACGCCGTCGGGATTCTGGTGTTCCATTGAAAAGCTCAGTAATCATTGTGTGGTGGACATCTTCTTTTTGCTCTCCCAAGAAATGTGAACAGACCGAGTTGAGGGTATAGCTTCGTAGCTGGTGGTCGCGCTGAATGAGCTGAAGCAAGTCCAGTTGCAAACGACCATTGGTGTTTGTAGCTTTCGTGTCTCGGTTGCCCATCTGCTTACTAGAAAAGTTCGTCTCTTTTGCATGTGACTGGATACCCTTCAGCCTGGTCCAGTAAGGGAACTTGATACATTTGAGGTGCTTTGCTCGATCGAGAAGATATGGAAAGTCGAAGTTGGCGATGTTGTAGCCTATGATGACATCTGGGTCGACCTGCTCCAGGAAGTCTCTCCATGCCATGAGCATCTTGTCCTCTGCGCCAAACTCGAAAATTTGGGTATTGACAATCAGACTACAAGTATCGAGACAGAATACGTTACGAACAAAAGGTTTCTGTTCTCCATATCTTGTCACGACATTCGCGATTTGGATGACAGGATCTTGGTTGGCTTCTGGGAAGACGCCCTTACGGCCAGCACACTCAATATCAAAGGAAAGGATTCGCAGTGGAGCCATCTTCGCCCATTCGCCGTCGTTGTGGTGAGCTATTAGATCTCGATAATGCACATATGCCTCTATTTGACAATTTGAATGCCGGTCTCGATGAGGGATCATGTGGTATTTTGACTGAGGAGCTTCCACCCAAGACATTCCTGTAACCTGTATTTTGTTAGGTAGGGGTTGCGCAGCCTTCTAGAGGGCTTACTCCAGTGTCGATCATGAACCGTAAAACATATTGTATGCTGTCAAATGTCAAGATACCACCATCCACACCCTTCCACATCTGTTTGTAGTTCATGTTCCCGCTCTCAATCGTGGTCCGCAACTTATTGATATGTTTTGGATCCGTGACTGTGATCTTCAAATACGGACTCTTCTGATTGCCTTGGAAGCCGAACAAATTCTCCCTCATCGACATTTGAACCGAATGTATTACCGGCTGGTGCTGCGCCAACTGGGTTTCCAGGTAGGCTTTGAAGCCGTCAATGTCTTTCTGTACGAAACTGACTGGGGCTGCGACATAGAGGTAGTGGAGAAAGTCGGTGACATGGAGAAGTACAGAGTGACCGGTCTGTCACCATCCAGTATTAGCAGGGCTTTTGCAGGGTACTGGAAGGTTCCTACCTCTGTGACCCCAAACAATTTGACGGTCGTCCTTCCTCCATGTAGTGTACCTTCTTCCGCCTCGATCTGCTGAAAGCAGAGACTGTCCCTCTCCTCATCAAAGTCATCCAAGCTCGGACGATCCCACTGCTGGTCCTTCTCGGAATTCTGCTGCTTGAGGCCGCTGATATCCTGAGTCAGTTTCTCCAGGTACTCTTCTTCAAACTGACTCTTAGGCTGGCTCGATCCATTCTTGAGGCCGTTCTGGCTGAGCTTGAGTTTCTTCGAGGGCGAGGATCCTACTTCGATTTTCCTTCTCTTTGCGGTGTTGGGGGACGATATCGTAGGATTGACATTGCGATGAGCTTTGGTAGAGTCTGCCAATGCCCTCTTCGGCGGCGGAAGAGTGGCAACAGGCATTGTGAAGGTCTTTTTACCGGTCGAGAAGTCTGTATTGCTGTAGCGTAGCTGGACGATGCTTTTTGGCGGAAGTGGGGCGCGTCACCAAAAAGCGCGTCGGAGTTTAAGTACGTGAGTCCATAAGGCTGAGAGCCATTAATAGAATGTATCAACACGATTGGCAGTCTCCAACTCAAGTTTCTTTCAATCATCATATCATCATAGCTAATGACCAAGGTAGTGGTTCGCTTCTGATATGTAAGACCGGTCAAGCCTTAGGTAAGACTCTCCTCTTGTTGCATGGGAACCATGCCCTCACAAGTGCTACTTTTTCTGGCGGCAACGCATCGACTATTCCAGCTTCATCAGATTGCAGGGATGTGAACACCCCAAAGGTACATAGAACGTCTATTGAATGACTTGCGCCCTATCCAAGGTGGCCGTTGTAGAAAGTTCCACAAAACTTTCAACTCCTATGCCAATGCATTACCGTCCTCGCTATGCTTCGAACAAAACCAAACATCGAAAGCTTTTCAACACCTTAACCCGTTGCCCACAGGTGAGATCTCAGAGAAAATACTCCAATTTGGTCACCAATGGCCTGCTCAAAAGATCCCGCTTGCTGCCTGTCGTTCCGTTTGTCGTCTGTAAATTGCCAATGTCACACCAATTCTTAATGTCCTGCGATTTACCTTAGCATATGTCATAACAGTACTTGAACATTTGGAACTTACTATGCAGCTCAAGTACCGACACCAGTGGCACGTCTTCGGGTCTGCTTTGTAGAAATTCTTCAAAAGCACAATGAAGACAACAAATGCGCCTATCAATGCAGCTGCCCGCACCAGCCACCATGCCCACCATAGCGGCTTGCGACCCTTGAAAAATGCCACTGGTTCTTTCACGAAAGCTTTTATGTCGCCATTGTCGGCTAATTTCCGTGCCTGCTGAACAGAGGCATAAGGGGGAAGGTCTGCACCAACCCGTTGCCGTAGAATTTCTGGTGAATGTATTAAACAGATACCCAAGACTAAGCCCATGAGAAAACCTCCTATGTGCGAGAAATTGTCCAGTCCAGGCAAAAGCCCCAAGGCAAACGATATTACGATATCGAACATCAGCCAAGCAAGATCTATCCATGGTGATTGACGCTCTTCCCAGTGGTAGAGGAGGTCCAAAAGCATGATAGCAATGATACCGAAGAGAGAGCCCGAAGCACCGGTTGACGCTATGCCTTGTGGAGCGAAATTACCGCCAAGTATAAAGCCGAAGATCCCACTGCTGAGGTAGATGATAAGGAATCGTATCGAGCCAATCAGTATCTCAATCTCTTTTCCAAGTAGAATCTGCAGTAACATGTTGAATGCGATGTGTATGAATCCAGCATGTAGGAACATAGGAATGATGAAGCGGAACCACTGGTTTGGAGGGTTGCTTTTTGTGTAGGCTTTATCGTGAAAGCCGCAAAGATTGTTCAATTGACACTGATTGGAAGAATCGTCTAGGGAGGTGGATGTCGTGTTGGGACACGGCCAGTCGATTGTTGTGTCCAGACCTTCAGATGTCTGGCGCATACAGGGAACATAGCGGGCGCCCATGTTGATGAGGACATAAGGGGAAGGGCCAATCATAGGGTTGAAGGATGGGTGGATTTCGATAGGGGTTTTGGTGAGAACACCTGAAAACGTCAGATCCGAGCCAGCGGCGTAGAAGGGACTGAACGCACCATTCCTCACAAGCTCCGCGATGAATACACACACCTGAATCAGGGTCAAGGTGTATACAACCCATGGTATCTTCCCACCACCAAAGAATCCTTGCTTCCTCCTCCTTCGGGCGGCGTTTTGGGTCGGTCTGTCGATAATGGCAGGATCGTGAGGCAGTGGATCATGCAACATCTCCGAACTCCCTTTGCTCGGATGTTGTCGTAGAGGGATGTCGTCTGAGTATGTATTTGGCTCGGTCTCTCGGCCTCCGCCACCGGAGGCGTAGTAGGGAGAGGGTATGCTTTGCTGACTTTGGTCGGCATAAGGTCGATAGCTTGTGTCTTCGTAGGGGGATGATATCTGAGGCGGTGATGGCTGCGTAGGATGGGAGGCGTAGGTGGCATAAGGGTCCAAAGGGAGACGTGGCGGAGGAGCATTGTAGCGTTGTCCATTCCCCGGGGACGGAGATGGGTTATAGTATTCGTTAGCTGCCATGCTGAGGAGTCATGAAATGTTCGTCAGTTGCTCTAATTCCGCTCGCTTCGAAAGAAGGTGGTCAAGGGCAGTGCCTTGTTCTCGGCTGCATCAGCAGAAAGAGGGTTATTGTAGCTCTTCACGAGAGCTATCAGGAGTCAACGTGCAGTAGAAAAGAAGGTGAGAGTCTCCCATAAGAAGAAAGAAAGAAAAACGAGTGACGCGGTTGATGTTTTCTGAAAATAGATTGAAGGAGGTATCTTATGAATCCGTTGACCCAAAGGGAACAAGATTCAGGGCAGTGTCTAAAACGCCAAGACTTGATCCCACCAATGACGCATTTCTTTCCTTTTGCGTGCAGTTTCTTGTAGGGCTGTAGGCAATGCAGTCGTCAGCGCCTCAAACAATTTCTGTACATATATCGCTTTGTATATCCTACCCACTTCTAGATCTATGTATACGTTCGTTGGTGTTATAGCGTCATTATCATCTCATTCTGTCTGATGCAATCCTCATCCTATCTCCTCCGCGTGCCTGGCCTTTAAACCGCGGCGTGGAGTCCAAGCTCCCGAATATGGATCTCTAGCATCTTTCTTAAACATAGGTTGAGAAGATGACGGCGCCGTCGTCGACTTCCTCCTCACCTTCCCCTATGAATCGTCGTCGAAAGAGCTGGGTAAGGAGATGCGAGCGCGCCTGTTGCTCGGTCGTCACATACTTTCCGTTAGGATTCATATATGGCTTGAGTACATGGGCAATATGGGTGGAGGCAGGATTAGGAATCTCTACAGGTCTCAATACATGGACAGGTTAGCACGGTCTCTCATGCACATCTGGTCCTATCCTGCGCTGACATCTTGGCACTCCAGGCACGATTTCCTCTGTCATTGGCATTACCCTTTACCTCCTCTTGAACTGGTCATACACCACCGCCGTCTTCACTGACCCAGGTTCGCCTATTAACCGGAGCAGTCAATCAGGCTACTCTCACCTTCCCACCCACGAGCCTTCTGCGCACCGAGACGCTCCATCCTTCACCGTCAAGTCTACAGGCGAGAGCCGGTTCTGCAAGAAGTGCAAAGCTCGGAAACCGGATCGTGCACATCACTGCTCGACATGTGGGCGCTGCGTGCTCAAGATGGATCATCATTGCCCATGGCTGGCTACGTGTGTTGGCTTGAGGAACTACAAGGCTTTCGTTCTGTTCTTGATCTACACGTCGATATACTGTTGGCTCTGCTTTGCGGTGACCTCGACATGGCTCTGGAGCGAAGTCTTTAGTGACACCGAATACATGGAAAGTCTTATGCCGATCAATTACGTGTTACTCTGCGTCATCTCTGGTATCATTGGCCTTGTTTTGACGGGTTTTACGATTTGGCATCTCAGCCTGGCATACAGAGGTCAGACAACTATTGAGTGTTTGGAGAAAACTAGATATCTAAGTCCGTTAAAAAAATCGATGCGACGGCAACAATTCGGCAATGCAAATGGGAACGGAGGTCAAAGCTACGGACAACAGCTTGCAGAAATCCATGCGAATACAGTACCTGGAGTTACGAGATCTGAGGAAGGGGAGGAAATGCTTTCGGATGTGGACCTTGAAGCAGGCCCACGGTCAAAGGCACATAAGTCGTTACAGAGGGACTATGGCGAAATGGAGCGATCGAGGGAGCGTGAGCGCTACGAGGACTATCTTGACGAGCAGGACTCGGAGAAGCTACCAAGTGCTTTCGACCTAGGGTGGAGGAGAAACCTACAGCATTTGTTCGGGGACAAGCCGCTTTCATGGTGGCTACCTATCTGCAACACTTCAGGCGATGGGTGGCACTGGGAGCCGAATCCAAAATGGGTTGAAGCTAGGGAAGCCATAAGGAAGGAAAGAGAAGCGCAGTGGCAAGAGGATGAGGAGAGAAGGAGGGATGGCTATGGAGATGGCTACTATGATCGACGGTGGCCTGCAAGAGAGGACTCGGAACGACATTATCTGACGACATCGAACGGCGTAAAGGATGTACCAGGTTCAGGAATCAGGTCGTCTGGGAAGGCCGATCAGATCCTTGGGAGGACTGATGAGTACTTTGATCGCAGCTTTGATGACGGCAGCCCCTCGAGCAGAATGTCCATGAAGACACTGAGGCGACGGGGTAGTTTCAGCGGGTCCAGTGACGATGACGATTACGAAGTCAGCAGTGACGAGGACAGGGGATCCGTCCAAGACATGCCGCAGTCCAATGGCCAGCCAAAAGCAGAGATTGGATGGCCGAAACGGGATTGAACGTGGAAAGAACGTTTACAGAGGGCGTACACGTTGACAAGTGAAGTAGTATTTGGGTGTGGATGTTTGCATATACCGAATGTCGCGAGGCACAAGTCTGGAAAAGAAAATGTTGGGATACCTAGGATCGATGCCATCATATCACTGAATGCTTCGACTTTGAACCAAGACTTGATGGCAGTAAGTGGTTTTGGTTCCCAGGACTATTGATTCCCTAGACTCCTCGCCATACGAGAGCCCGATAGTCTCGAGGACATATGCTATAAAAGGTCCTCGCCAGCAAAGGACAGACCTCAGAAAAGGTGAAAACCTGATTGGGTTAGTGCTAGCTTCACTTTGTTTACTTCGTTTTGACAGCCTAAGGAAGTGACGACCGACTTTGTAGCTCCACCTCTCAATTCCTCCTATGCTACCAAGAACACGTCATCCAACACTGCACCCAAGACCCTTCTACGCACCTCGAAGGCAACCAAAATCATCGGCACGATGGTTTGTTATCCCGGGAAGGTATGTATGAACTGCCAGGAGTGTTTCGGGTGCCATGCAATGAAAGGACCCACCGTTGTTGGCAATTGCCGCCCAAAGGTTCGGAGGAATTGTCCAAGAGAACGAATCGTCCGGTGAGAAGCCATCTTCCCTGAGAACTTTACCAAGCTTACGGTTAGGCAGAGAAGCTGAAGAGCGAGCGCGGAGGTCAAGTGGAGCACAGTACACCACCCAAGTACCTTTGATACAATCGGTTCCGAAGACTGGGCCTCAAGGAAGTATACCGCCCATTCCAGCGAGTACAAGTATGAACGTGAACACGTTCTCGAGACCGCCTGTACAGCCCCTTATCAGGTCTGAACAGGGCAAGACTGTCTCTTGGAGCACTAAAGCACCTTTCACCATGTCCATAGATAGTGGTGGAAAACAGATTCGGTTCTCTCACTGTCCAGTGCTCACTTTCCCATCAATGCAATACGCGTACGACTACTTCCACGTCCAAGAAAAGCTACACAACCAGTGTGCAATCCAAAACGGTCGGCCACAGCGGCTTCAAGCTGCCCAGAGACCCCTTCGAGCTGAGCAGCAAGGCTATCTAGCTGAGCACCTAGGGCTTCGAATTGGGCAGCTGGCGAATTTCGCCGCGCAGCAAGCTTGTCTTGCTGAGTCGCTCTGCCCATTCGAGCCAGTTTGGCAGTTCGATACTCCGCTCAAGCCAATTGACGCGCAGGACGTCCTCAACCTTCCAACGCCCCCAAGCCATAGTGTGTTTGACTCTCAGCATCAGCTCGCAACTGAGCCTTTTGCCCAAAGTCCGTGGAAAGAGCCCGTTCCGGTCCACTCCTCGTCCGGGTCACCGCCGCCAGAGTCTCCACCGCAAACCCTTTTCGCAGAATCGACGCCGCATGCTCGAGAGATCCAGGCCCGGCCTCGGCTCAGACTACCAGTTAAAGGATTGCAGTCTTGGCCTTTTCGATCACAAGTGACCAACGACAATCCCTTCCTGCAGTCGTCATCAATACAACCTGCGGACCAAGCAATGACGCTTCCTGGTTCATATCACCAACCATCGACCTGCATAGGTACCGTCCTCCCACGAACCCTTACCAACGAGGTCGATATCTCTGACCAACCACCAACTTTTCACGGATTGTATCACTCACCTTTCTCCTACGCAGACACCGTCCTCCCACAGACTCTAAACAGGAAGGACAGAAGAGTTCTTGGCGTTTCTTCATCTGCTGGCGTCGATGAGTAGGTTTCTCTCAACTTCTAGGACCCGGACTAGTCACATTCTCGTACGGCTGACAAGAGCCCTATCGTTCTAGGATTCGAGCTGGTTTCTGGCTGCGCGACTTCCAGTACAATGCCGATCGTTACCGCGCCGCCAGCCTTGAGGAGAGGGCTGTTGCTGCGCTCAAGTTGACACGAGCGCAGGAAGCTGTAGATAGGCTGTGCGGGTGTTCTGGAGAATACTAAAAGCAATCATCTTGTTGTGTTTGGTTAGGACCATGGTCCATGACCAGAAGATGCTAGCAGGAGAGGGACGCCTCTGATGGAGAGGAGGCATAGACCTTGCGTGTGTGCCGATCCTCTTTGTAGCATGTTTTGCATGTTGCAGAGGGTTGTGCCTGAACGATACGTCTTGTGGAAGGGTCTTCTACACTCAAGAACTGAGTGTGGTTGCCCTTCCCCATGCCAGGAAGAAGAAGCTCTTAAGGTTCACACAGCGTTAGTGCGCATATATCTCACGGTCAGCGAGAGAGGCATTTAGCTATGAGAGCACATGTCAGCCTCCTTCCCCTCTCCTCGGAGAATTTGATTTGCTTCTGGAGCTTACGTGGCATCGTACAGGGGTTACATGGCGTCCCATACATTTCACAAATCTTCGACTAGAAAATGGCATAGCATAATCACATCACCCGGCCCCAGCATCATGATCGTGCAAGCTCGTTCCATTCGTGCTCATGAATTAAATACAATTCTCTCCCCAGGATCCACCTGACCGCACGTTCGCTTCATCCCTTTGCACGTAGTGAAGGATAGCAGGCAGGCGGCCACTGAGTACCGAAAATTGACAAAAAGGAAAGAGGCCATGTCATCCATCCATTTCATCCATCGTCAAGCGCAAGAGCTGAAATAAAGGAAAACGTGCATGTTCGTGTAGGAGATCCATTCCATTCCGTCCTTCCATCCATCCATGCATCCGCCCGCCACACACCATCCATCAAAAACCATGCTCGGCAGCCCATTCGTCCTTTGCCCAGAGCGAGCACAGGCTTCCTGCAGCCAGGCGTGCAGGCGGCCAGAAGGCGCAGCGTAGTGAATGATAAGGGCAGGAAAGAAAGGGTCGGCGTGGTCGGAGATCGCGCATGGTGAAGTCAGTGGGTGGTTGATTGATTGATTGATTGCCATCAGGAGCCGATGTGGGGGATGTGGGGGATGTGTTTGTGTGTTTGTGTGTTTGTGTGTGAGGCTGGAATTCCATAATGGTAAGGATGTATTGGATAGTATCGTATTAGGATAGCATGGAACGGGAGGGGAGGACGGCGAGGAGGCGGCGCCGTCTACATGACGGTGCAGAAACTGCCCGCGGATCCTGGGGATGCGACGGTCGTTAGCTGGGGGGGTTTCTTTTTGGGTAGGAAGGGGGGGGGAGTGAGGTAAGTGAGTGAGTGAGGGAGTGAGTGGGTGGAAAAGAGGTCAGGTCAGAGGGGGATTGATGACATACCGCGCTGGTCCTGCGGATTGTGGGGCATCTCCGTCTCGGCGGCGGGGGTGCCGGCTCCGGTGAGGGGAGACATGATGGCGGTGGCGGTTGCGGTGGTGGAGGGGGGCATGGTTGGTTGGTTGGTTGGTTGGAGTGAGTTGAGTGAGGTGGAGGATTGGTTGGTTGGTTGGAGTGAGTTGAGTGAGGTTGACGAGTGGGGTTGACGAGTGAGGGGGTGGCTGGGGGATGTTAGTGGATTGTTGGTGGTGGGTTTGATGATGGTGGTGATGAGGGTGGTGATGAGATGGTGAGGTGGAGGGTGGATCTTACTGTCTTTTGGTGTGTGAGAGTGTGAGAGTGTGAGAGAGAGTGTGTGAGAGAGAGAGAGAGATGGCTTGAGTGGAGTTTGAGAAGAGTGTATGTGCTTGATGTGAGTTGTAGGTGGAGGTGTGTGATGTGTGAGTGGTCAATTGAAAAATAGGAATGCGAACTTACTGTCTGTGCGTGGTAGCTGGAAGAGGTTCGAGAGTGTTGCGCGCTTGGTGGGGGTTTGTATGTGGAGTTTGCGTGACTTGTGAGGAGGTGCTTGTTCGAAGAAGAGAAAACGGATCAGGTAGAAGAGAGGTCGACGAAGGATACTTGTAGGTGTGGGAGAGTGATACCGAGCATATATCGAGGATCACAGAGCCGAGGCGATCAATGGTGCTAATTCGAGTCAATGGACTACACCTCGGGCTTTGTGATTGTGAACATGAGCTTTGTGACTCCTTAATATTGTTGCTTCATCTTGCTTAGTATTGTCGTCGATACTTTCAAAGGAGTCGATTCTGCGCGGTGAATGGTTTCCCTGGACTCGAGCACAATAGACGGTCGGGATGATAAAGCGTGGATAATGGCAGTTTGTTAGTTGCACATGGTTTGTTCGAGATGTCAAGAGAAGGGAACGAGGCAGGTGGGGGAATGTGCATTGTGGGGACATGTGTTGATACTTGAAGATGGGAGGCGTCTGTCCATTCTCCAATGTTTCGATTCGGCCCCCTGTTGCTGATGCTAGATATTGGTTCAGTGCCCAAGCATGAGGTACATGGCCCACGCTCATACGTCTTCTTGAGTCCTTCGTCGCCTCACGTAAAGTAAGTACTTGTTGTGTTGCTTTCGTCCCTGAACGGGCCTTGCCATGTGTGCAATGGAAGAAGAGTGAAAGGTCTATCTGTCTAATCACTTACTTGTCGACGCGAACTGGTATCCCAGATCATCTTACTGGGCTTATCCTAGAAGTAGGTAAAGTCGCTCACAGTATCTAGCAGCCGATGCATAATCTCTGGCGATCTGAAAAAGGGGAGAAAGGAGGGGGAGACGGCGGGATATCGATGGGGCACCGATGTGAACATTGGCATCCACCCAACAGCAGCAAAATTGAAACCCCCCACGAGGCTCTGCGCATCTTGAACAAGACTCTCCTGTCTACCAATATCCCTTTGGATGGCAGAGACCCGTATGCCGGTCTCAAGCTGAGGCGCACTTCCCATGTTACCTTCCCACACGGCTGGAACTCGAATGCAGCAACATACGAATCCCGGATACAACGCTCAAAAGCACCGCAACAATCATGACACAGATACGATACAATGCGGTATGGGACGGTCATGTTTTCAAGTGCAATAGTGTCGCATCCGTCGCTAGTGTGAATGCATTCCAAGCGCGACATTGTTCATGCTTACTATTGTTCTCAACGCAAGCGAGGTCGTAGCGATCATTTAAGCGGTGATTCTTATGTTCACTCTATCCTCAACGCTTTCGCGATGTCATGGTCCACGCAGTCTATGCCACAGCCCAGCTGTTCATCTTCTATTGCAATTCTTGGCGAGTACTGTGGGGTAGACTTCTTGTGTAGCCCATGAAGACACCTCTTTTCGCACAGGACAACTTCTCACTCATGCCATTGGCCAGCTAAAGGGCAACTGCAGCAAGATCGAGCAATTCAGGGGTGTCCCCTAACCAAGGTCCGGTCATCTTCTAGGTGTACACCTCCTCAGTGAAAGCATTCAGCGAGATTCCCTCTTTCGCGATGTCCTCCTTGATCAAGAACAGCAACGGCATTTCGACCAGCGTACCCTTGATGGTACTCAACAAGTCCTTGACTTCCCTCGTACCTCTTTCCCCAGGCGAAAAGTTCGACTCAACAACATGGCCCCACTTGTACTTCGCGGGCTTCTTCAAGTCTTTGCCTACAGCATTTTCGTCTGAGTCCTTGAAGAAGACTTCGTAGAACGCGTTGTAATCGCTCCACGTCAATACACCGTCGTGCGGGACAGGGTGAAAGATTCTGCCGAATGCATCGCTATTGGTCTGGGCACGACTATTCCATAGGTTTAAGAAGCTGTCTGACAATGGGTCCACCACCGCCTGATCCTCGCGCGAACCGTAGTCGTAAATGTTGGGAACGCCAATCGGCTCGAAATTCTGATTCGGCTTCTCCATGTTCTGCGGCGCAAGTAGACCCAAGTGCTTCCTGAATAATTGTCGTCGAAGCGTGGCCGCGAATTTTGCTGCTCGGTGGGGCTTGCCATCCATATAAGAGTCAACGGAAATAGGGTCTTCGATGATGCATGCAATCTCAGAGTCATGATCCCCAAGTTGTGAGCGATCGTTGAGGTTGGCAGAGCCGCAAATGACAATGCGATCGTCGGCAATGAGTACCTATTAAAATCAGCACCTGATCGTTGATTCATTGACCTAGCTCACCTTCGAATGGATATACAGCTCCTCGCTGACAAAGGCTTGAATTTCTGGAATATTCCCGTTCTCCCAAGGCACATCACGGATGTCTCTACCGCCAAGCATGTAGCATTCAGAAACTGAATCCCAGTCTCCGGTGTAGAGTCCTTGCTGCTTGTTCATATTCGTCGTTGCTTGTTGATATTGCTGATACTTTTGACGACCTGCGTACTGCGCGCTTCGATCTCCGGCAGGCAATTCTACAGCGGCATCATGCTCGTACCGGGCATCTTCGTAATTCACGCCACTCTTGTTCTCAGCATTCTTCATTGGTTCGCCAACATTAAGGCGGTCGTAGTTCCTTAAATTGTAGAAACGAATGTATTCGGTAGGGTCGTATCCTTCCTTGGCAACCATCTCCATGATACTGTGTCCACCACGATTAATGGCATTGTATTGAAACTCCATGATGGCCCGAGTTCCGAGACTGGCGTCGTCTTTGAGATCTCCGGCAAAGCCTGGGACGGAAGGGATAATCACAATAATCTTGTACTTCTCGCCAGCCCTTGCTGCACGTAGAATTCGCTCCACAATCGCTGCGCCGATCTTATTCTTTACGGGCTTCTGAGCGTCGGTGCATGCTGTGATGAAAAATTGATTCTCAATGTATATGAAATAGCGACTGTTCTCGATAATGCTGATATAGGCGTTTGCGACTGAATGTTCGGTGGATATGCCATGACTCCATTTGGTACAGCTTCTGACGATCTGGCAGGATATGCCTGCGTCTTGGGTGTGACCATGTAGCTTGCTATAGTGCTCGTTGCCGCTCATGTATTGCCGGCCGGCTTCAAACCTTCCCATCATGTTTTCTTGTAAAGTTTCCGCCTTTTCTTCGAAACGCTCGCGATGCTGGTGATGACCGCCTGGTGTTGCCATATATTCGCCCATTCCACGGGCCGCGTCTTCTTCGTCAGAGCTCTGACCACCGATATCACGGCTGGAGACAGGAGGTGGTGGGAAGTACGGAACCTGCTCTTGAGCTACTCCAGTGGGGTTGGCTGATTGCCCACCATATTGCCCGTACGCTTGCGGAGGACGCCCTTGGGATGGAGGAGGGTAGCCTCCATTACCCTGAGATGAGCCTACGTTCTGGTACCCAACCGACTGTGGTTGGTAAGGCAGGTATGGCTGAGAGGCTGGTGGAAGTGCCTGAGAAGCTTGATGAGGCACTGTCCCCGCCGCATTCTGGGTAAAAGTGAGCCTTGAATATCTCGTATCTTTCCGGACGTCGTATTTCTCGTTATAAATGAAGTTCCACCGTTCTACGAAATGGGCTCGAAGGTCTTCCACAACAGGGCCACTCAGACTGATTGAGATGTCTGACCAGCCCATTCTTGAGCTGTCTCTGCGGTCTAGCTTGTTGTCTTGGTAATGCGAGACATCTTGGAAGTCCATGATCCTATCGAGCGTCAACTACGACTTACTCGAGCAAAACTTGTTCACCAAGGCTAATGCTCACCTAGCGTTGTTGTAGTCCTGCCCCGGGAACACAATTTCATCAAGATTGGAAGGGTGACAATCAGCGATCGGGTGCTGATTCGTGTCCCATCTTCCATAGCATAGATCCAGCCCGCCCATGAAAGCAATCTTGCCGTCGATGAGACACAGCTTCTCGTGATGTGCCCAATAAAGGACGACATCTTCGTTCATACCATAGATGGCCTTCAAGGCATCTTCAGGTAGCTGAGAAGCAGTCTTGGCGCTTAGAGATAGGTGCTGCAAAGAGGAGAAGAAAGAAGACTGGAGAGTCTGGGCATCGGGGAGATGATCAGGATGTCGGAAGACCGCTATGTTGGGATGAAGGTCCTCCAGTGCATGCTTGGTGTGATACGAGCAGACTGTCGAAGGAGGGGCCATCAGCGGATTCTCCCTCTCCACGTGTTCGAGGGACAGAAAGGTAGCGGCAAGACCCATGCCACTGAGCGCTCGAGTTATAGGATCGGTGTTTCTTGGTAGAAGGGAGTGCAAATAGTCTGGCAAGGTTGGAGAAAGGTACTTACGCGTTAGAGCCTGCGTCACCTCCTTGTAAACAATAACGTTGACCTTGACACCACGTTGAGCGGCTGCTTGTAACATGCGGTCAAGGCGATACTGCTCATTTTTGGAAGGAGGTCTCCGCAGGTAGAGCTCTGGTGACAGCCACCCTTATTGATCGGTTAGTCGGAGAAACTGCTTGGTAGCAAAGAGATTTCTCACAGTCCAGGATCCATATGGACTCTGTCGCTTGCTCCAGAGCTCTAGACACGGCCCACATGTAACCACAACCATCGACATACCACTTTGCGTCGTTGCCAGTTCTTTGAGCTGCAAAGCTGCCGTAACGATGTTGGCTAGTGTTGTGCATCCCATTGTCGCACTGAGCGCCTGCATGAGTATGGCTATGCTTGGGACCTGTTCCACCGAGCTTCTGATCGATTCCAGAGCCGATGTCTTGGACCGTTTTCTGAAGCTTGCCAAAAAGGAAAGACCCTAGACCGCCAGATGGGTTTGACTGGCTGCTGCCATCGTGCTGAGGCATATATTTGTCTCGTACTTTTCGATAAGTGTCTCCGATCAGGCCTCGCTCTCCCTCTGCTCCTTCATCGTACTCCCCTTCCTCCCGGAGTCTGCTGCCTGAAGATCCAGGATAGTCTCCGTAGGCCAAAGGATCATCTTCCCTACCGCCAGGATGCTGGCCAGCTCTAGGATCCATTATTGCTAATCAGACAAAAACACAATGATAAGGATACTACTAGGGATTGCAATTCGGTCCGAAGACCTGAGGTGGTGAGATGTTTCAAGCTCGATATCCCTTGTGCCAGACGTGGGAATAAAGACGTGCTTCTCGCTGACTGCAGACGCAGCTGGGCACATCAGGGACCAATTAGCATCCAGCTGACTTCAATCCAACAGGGCAGGCGCGAGCCGCAACACTGACAGCGACAGTCTATCAGCATGTTTCAACAATGATACCCCTTGTACTATCATTCTGCAACTTGCCAAGAGATCTCTGAGAGTAAGTTGTTAAAGAGTTGACAGCGGAGATGCGGAACTGGCGGCGGTCTTCGAAGGGGGCTAGAGTACTGAGCCAAGCATGACGATCTCCTCCACCCTCCGAGGGGCTCCATCTACCCGATGATTCACGGACCTTACGTTGAAACCACATCCTGCATCATCTTCTGCTCTTATATCACGCCTCAATGGCCTCTACACTCCTAAAAACCACACCAAGAGCACTGTCGAAATTGACGCCATTACATCAACAACGTCTCACATCTCTCGTATCTTTGAACATTGCTAGGATGACTACCAGCGGTACTCGAGTTGCTACACTAGATGCGAGTGAAACGTCACCAGTTGACTAACAGACACTGACCAAGACACTGACCAATTGCTTACAGTCTTCCCTCCGTGACCGCCTCCCTGTCCAAGCCCCTACTCTTTTCGAAGCAAAAGCCGCCAAGAACCTCACCTTCGAAGACATAGCAAAGCAGCTTGGCCGCAATGAAGTAGCTGTTGCAGCCATCTTCTACGGCCAAGCCCAAACAACATCCGAAGATGCTGAAAAGCTCGCCGACATCCTGGGCGTGGACAAGAGCAAGCTTGGGATGCAGTTGGCAGGCTACCCATTCCGTGGCCAAGTCATGGACATGCCGCCAAAGGAGCCGTTAATCTACCGCCTCTACGAAATTGTACAGAACTACGGATACGCATACAAAGCCATATTGAATGAAAAGTTTGGAGACGGGATAATGAGTGCTATTTCGTTCTCGACGAAGGTCGAGAAAGAGACAGACAAGGACGGGAACAACTGGGCTATCATCACCCTGAGAGGCAAATGGTACATCGTTTCTCTGGGAGCGGCATGTCTGGACAGATGACTGACTACAGCTTTAGGTTGCCTTTCTCCAGATTCTGAATAGAGATATTCTAAAGCGTGATCCATCTATATAAATGAGTAGTAAAAGCCTCGACGTCTTTTTCCCTCCCTGTCGTGATTCGAAGCAACACAATCTCACCACTGTTACCTTAGCCATTTCCCTTCGTAGACATTGCTTCATTCTGATTGCAATGCTTTCACTATGCCTGTCCGGGTGGAAACGCCAAGACCAGGACACGAAGACACCATGAATCGTCCTTCCCGTTTCGTTCACTTCCTCCACGCGTCTACCACGAGCAAATTCCACCACACAAAATGGCCTCCGTTTGGACGCCATCAAGCCATCAACTATCATCTGTGGAAGCCAATGATATGCCTTCAATGAACCGGTTGATGAGTCTTCTTAATTGACTGTTTACAGTGTCAAAAGGTAGTGTCGAACCAGCCTAGCTCAACACAATCCATTGACTTTGCAAAGAGGACGCCATATGCAAAACCTGAGGCGCTCTTCGAAATTTGATGAAAATGGGCCAAAAGCAATCCAAGCGCGTTTCCTCCACCTCCTCGGCTTCGCTCCTCACCACCTATATCAGCTCCCCCTCCAGCATCAGCTCTCCATCCAACCCAACCAGTCCCACCAGTCCAATTAGCCCAGACACCCTACTCAGCGAAATCTCTATTCCAGCAATACCACGCCAGCTCACACGCATCTCCGAGATCCTTGATCCTCGTGACATCCTTCGCGAACAGACTTATCTTGATTCACCATCACGCATCCGTTCTTCCTCTCAACCATTGACTTCGCCGAACGCACCGAAAGGCGGGATCGTGCATTCGCCATCTGGCAATGCATTAGGGGCGGAGGAGTTCATTGCGCATCCGAGTCGGCCATTGGCGATGTGGGAGAGGCAGGAGAGGGTGTTGCAGGCGACGAGAGAGGGGATGGAGAGGTTTGAAGCGGAGAGTAGGGCGGGGATGAGGAGTAGAATGGGAACAGCCAAAGACGAGAAAGGAGGCGGAAGGGGAGGGAAGAGGCGATGGTGGTTTTGTGGACTTTGACCATGATAGGAGGCATCGTTCTGGCTGGGCACTGTAGCTGGTATGGCTGTGACGGAAGGTAGCTGTACAGTTGAACTTGTTAGCTGGTGTGCTTCTGAAATCCAAGAGCTACCCTACCAAATCTCGCTTTCATCAAATCAGCTTTGGCGGCCTGAATCCATTTCTCGACCTTCGAGTCATCTTGCCATATATTATCATCCAAGGCCATCGATTCCATAAATCTTGGCTTGATCTTGTCAACCATCTCCACTTGCGAACATTTTTTCCTCGACGGCCAGGTGTCACTGGCGGGAAATCTGCTTCTCAGCCGTCAAATTCTCACTCGTGAGAGACTTGACCCTTTCATTCCGAACACTCGAGGCTCTTTACCCACCAGCAGCTCCGTCTCACTCACTCCCACAACAAATCAACACTCGACCAAAGATTTCTTCAACTTACAACCAACTTGCATCAGGGTTGAAGTCATCCTGCTCTGCCTTTACCTGGGGAAGGCCCGCGCTTGTTGGGGTCCCTTCTTAGGGCGTCTACCTATTCACTTGCTTTTGATCATCTCACATCACCATACTCTCCTTCAATCACTTTTGCAACAACATAACGTTCAACCTTCTTGTACCCACCATTCCTTCGATAAACACCATCCTAGTCGCCATGGATCCCACCAAGCCACCGCACCTTCGCCAACCTAACAAGCAGCAACAAAAACCAACCATCATCAATGGCAAATTCACGAAGGCTGTACATGCCGAGCCACGCAGCAATTTGCCTTCCAATGTCCACAGCATTGACGATTCCGCTACGAGTGGCTCCGCTTGGTCTGGAAATCGCTCAGGCAACTTGCCTTCCACTGTTCGTGGCCCTTCTATAGTTATAACAAATCCCACGTGGAGTGAGTACGCTGGCGAAGCCTCGTCCTCCAAAGCGTCAACTGTGAGGCAACAATCCATCCCAAAGCAAAGCTGGAATGAGTACGCCGGCGAAGCCTCGTCCTCCAAAGCGTCAACTGTGAGGCAGCAGCCAGCCTCAAACACAAGCCTCCAGGACGTGCCGCCGCCTCATCTTCGCGGTAAGTCAACGGCAGCTACCCAAGCTCCCAAGCCAACACCACCCATGAACGCGGGCAAGCTTGCCAAATCTGCCAAACACGACAGCAAGGTTCCCTGCACCTACGAAGATTGCACCCGTGGGTTTACCAAGGAGACGGACATGAAAAGACACAAGGATGAAGACCACGAATGGTGCCGCCTCTGTAACGTGGACTGCGCCGATGACGTGGCATTGCTTGAGCACAAGGTCCAAAGCGACATGCACATTTGCTGTGATATCTGTGGCGAGGATTTTCGTAGTGATAGGGGCAAGGAGCGTCACATGAGGCAGGTGAGCTCGTGGTCTCGGTTCCAGTCTGTGGGAATCATTGACTGACACAAATAGAACCACGCCAAAATGCAAGAGGTCAAGTGCCCAGCTTGTCATATTGTCTTCGACAAGGGCTCTGCTTTGATCGATCACATATACAACAACCGATGCCGCGATCGCCGCGGCTTCATTGCGGAGAAAGTCAACCAGAATATCATCAGAGAATATCGAGCTGCGGCAGCGTTGCACTTGGATGCCATCTCTAACCAGCCCAGTACCATAGGCGCAGAAATCGCCGCGATGCAACCTCAGTCGGAGAGAGGTACATCTTTCGTCGATAATTCCGAGGGTGGTGTACGTTTGAACCTCATGGACGACTATATACCATACGGTCATCTCACTGCTCGGGCTTTGAGCCGTGCTGAAGACTTAGACCTAGGCGATGTTGAGTCAACAATTGCGTCCAATGGAGCAGAACGACTGACCTTTGACGATGACGAGCCCGGGCTACCCACCAGTTCTGGAGACACGAGCAAGAGCAACGTCCCGGGGGGCGGTGTGATCGAAGGTTTGCAGGCTTTACGAATAGAACCTTCCACCGCAGTTCCTTCAGGGAAGCAAGCCTGGGCTGCGAAGCTCTTTCCGGGAGCCAAAACGACGCCAGTGACAGGAGGGTGGACTGCTCCTACGACACCCGACTATCGTAAGAATATCTTGCCGTCGGAATCTGGTACAGAACACCGGATCCGTACAGATTGGGACAATTTAGCACTGGAGCGTGATCCCGCGGATGATACGTATCACTGTCCTTTCTCCAAATGCCTGTACGTTTTGAGGGGGTCTAATTGATTCCTTCTGCCATTTTGCGGTAGCTGATAATCACCAGACAAACCTACAACGACCTGGTCAAATTGAAGGTGCATTTGTCCTCGGGCTTCCACCAGGGAACGGACCATCGTTGCTTGAGATGCCTCAAAATATTCAAGTCGCCAGCGGCACTTACAGCCCACATGGAATCCAACAGTGAGCGCTGCAAGATACGTGAGACGCAGGCATACGGTCATGTCCTCCACGTTGTCTCGGGTGGTTTCTTGAAAGTGACCGGGAGGCATGCCGATGGATCGCTGAAAGTCGAGGCTCCAACGATGGAGGAGATAGAGGAGCAGATGAAGAATCAGACTCTGCCTCCTCATCTCGATGAAGACTACCCCTGGTGATTGCCATGTTGTTGGGCAACAATCCCTTTGTTGATTGTGGGGAGAACTCATTCGGACGACAATCATTCCCCAGCAATATCAAACATGCAGGCAGCAAGCCTCTGCAGCATGGCTTTGCTCAGACAACATCTTTTCATATCGGCAGCATCATTACAGGCGACACCCATGGTTGATTTTCCAAAAGTTCGGCATGCTTCCCTAACGTCGAGAAGGAAATGTGGCATACAACCTTCACAAAAGCGATCAGCATGGGCTTCGGCACCAGAAGCGGCAAGATATCGGGGGCAGCTGCCAGTCATTCTTCACTTTTCATTTTCAATAGGCTCAGCATCACACCAGGAGCATAGATAGAAAAAGCGTACATACATATCACGAACGTCCCCAGACCAGCGCCTACGCAATGCTCCCCGACTCTCCTGGTATGCGAGTAAAACAATCTCCCCCTCGCCGCAAGTAGCATCCCCCCCCTCTTCGCCCACCCATCCCCAACTACTCTTACTTTCCCCTCCCCCCCCCCCTCCCCCCCCTCCCCCCAAACCCCGGAAACACCTCCCGCACCTGCCCCATGATAATATCCCCATACCCCTTCCCCCGCCCCAACTCCTCCCTCTCCCGCTCCAGCCGCCGCCCCTGCCACCCGGGCCTCTCATCCCCCATCCACACCCTCCCCGCCAGCCCCTTCACCCCCTCCCCCTTTCCCCTTTTTCTTCCCCTCCCTCCCCCCTCCCCCCCCCTCCCCTCCCCCCCCCCCTCCGCCCGCCCCCACGGCATCTTCCCCCGCGCGCCCGACCCGAAGGCCAGCTCCTCCGCCGATACGACCATCGTTCCCGCGAGCGAGAAGGTGTACAGGTCCAGTTTCCGGGGGGGCAGCAGGAGCAGGACGGGGCAGGCGAGGAGGAGGGTTAGGAAGATGGGGCGGAGGGGGGTCGGGGTTGGGGTGGGGGGTTGGGTGGGGGGGTTGGGTGGTCATTTTGTGGCGTTCGGGGGTGGGGAGGTGAGATGGGGGGGTGGTGAGTTGGGTGTGGTGGGGTTTGGGGTGTGTTGAGGGTTTGGAGGGTTTGGAGCTATGAGGGGGGAGGTTGCGTCGTTGGGAGGGCTAATTAGGTGGAGTGAGGGGTTGTGGGTTTCTTTTGATGGTTTTTGGTGTTTGTTTTGTTTTGGTTTGGTTTGGTTTGGTTTGGCGACTCGACTCGACTTGGTTACGGGCGTGGATGGATCGGGTGGTTGTGATTGTGGAGAGGAGAGGAGAGGAGAGTGGAGTTAGGTGGACCGGTCGGTATGGAAGAAAAGGGTTGCCGGGCGGGGATCGAGCGATCGACTGAGTGAACGAGTGAATGATGCTACAACAGCAGCAACGCTTTTTGCGAGTTCAGACTGACGAGGATGAAGTTCATGAAATCATGATCGCTACCAAACTTCCATGTTCTTCTCCCCTTGTTTTATGTTAAGATCACATATTAAGATATGAAAATAGGAACAATTTTATTCGTTCCGTGACACTTTGGCCGAGTGGTTAAGGCGACAGACTCGAATTTTCTCCATTCTCGACATCTGTTTCATTCGTGAGCGCAGGTAGGTCGCACCCCATGAATCACCATGGGAAAATTTCGAGGCTAATTCGTCACAGGTTCAAATCCTGCAGGTGTCGATTTTGTTTTTGTCAATTTCTTTTTGCCCAGGCGCAGCGATCTTGGAGGGTTTGTGTGTGGGGGTGGGGGTTGGGGGGGAAATTTGACCAGAGGCGAGATATCTTGGGAACGGGCGGATGGAAGACATGGGTGGGCTACGAGAGGAAGAGCGTGCTGATGTGAAAGGATATTCCTACAAGGGATCCGAAAAATCATGCTCGGAGCGCAGGGGAAAGGGGAAGATCCCAGAGGCAATTCGAAATTTGACATTCACTCCTATCTGTGATTATCCACGCCATCGTCACCTATCGAAACACACCAATCAAGCTTCCAGGTCCTTCATTCCAACTTTCGAAAGTGCATGCTGAGCCTGCCCCACTGCCATCTCCATAAGCTCCATAACTAAAAACCCGTCGTTCCTTCCTTGCTCATCTCCATACTCCAATTCGTCGTTTGAGAGGCTACTCTGAAATTTCTTCGCAGCTTGCAATAGGGAGTCCAGAAACCTGGGTAATTCGTTCTGCTTCGCTACTTCGGCCATTTGTAGACGGCTAGATAGTGTGGTAGACGAGAGGAGTAGATAGAGAAGGTTGAGGACAGCGAGATAGAACGGCTGATGTGCCTGAAACGTGGCATAGCTGCCCGTAATAGATTGGCCTTCCATAAGCTTCTCCGGGTTCGGAAAGATGAACGGTGCAAGGCTGTTCAGCGCAGCGGATGTTGCGAATATTGAATCCTCTGCATCCGGCTCGTCCTTGCTCCGTTCAGCTTTCTCAGCCGCAAGTATCTCATCCTTCAACCAGCCGATGGCGCTTGCTTTGAGATTTTCGAAGGGGCAGTGCTCCAGTGTATCTCGTATGAATGCCAGACGGGAGTCTTCTGAAGGATTGAGATGGAGTATCGTTGATGTCAGGAGGTGGGCATGGTATCGTAGGACAGGAGATGGCATATTTGCGGAAAGCAGAGAAAGTCGTTGGAGAACATTGTTGAAAACGTGGTCATTATCAGCTCCCGCCGGGACATTTGGTTGCGAACCGATGATGAGGAAACCTAGGAAGAGGACTGCATCGATGAGTGGTTCTGATTCTGCCCCAGTACTGCCAGTCGCCGAATCACCGAGCGAGCTTGCGAGTATGCCTGCGAAGTCTGGAACGAGGCTTAAAGATGGCAAAGATGCTGGAGCGTCGAAAAGGGTGGATGAGGCTGCCATTGTTGCCAAGATGAACATCGAGCCTGTCTTCGACAAGGGAACGTCAGATGCGGAAGATGGGAGCTCCTGCTCTTCATCCAAGTCTAATTCATCTGGCTTTGTGATGGTCGAGAGCAATTCTTCTGCACCAAGCTTGAGGTCTCGAGCGAGTGACTGCAATCGTCAGCGATCTTCTCCGGCAAAGTTCACAAGACTTACCAGGATATGGCCCGTGATCGTGTCTCGTTCATGCAGATGCTCTTCCTCCACGAACAGACTACCGTACGTCCGCCGTCCCGGAATAATTTTCTCAGGATGTAGCTCCTCTTGATATCTGCTAGACCAGGCCAGACCCGGGACATCCTCATCCAGCGCAGTTGAACTCATGTAGGCTTCGGTAACGTAGGTTAGGAAGGACTGCAACAGTCGAGACTGCAAACCTTTCTCGTCCACCCCCAAAGCTTCGTCTTGGCCTTCCGGATCAGGCGCAGAGACAGGAGTTGCTTGTGTAGGTATCATGACGCTACTCTTCCGAGGCGGCAACTTAGGCCTCCTGGTTCCAGACAGAGCCTTGATGAATCCTAACACGGCTTCTGTTGCTTCCGTAGTCCTAGCTACTTGCGAGTAGGCTGGTAGAATGGCCTGTAGGGATGTCGATAGGAAGCGACTTGGGTATTTGGTCTTGATGCGCGGGTGGAGAACTGAAAGCATCTCGAGTAAAGCTGTGAATTTGACGCCCTTTGATGGAGGCCTAGACGGCCCTTCAGAAGTGGTGAATTCTGCGGCCACATTCTCGCCATCTTGAACATCATCCTCACGGGCATCGTCTTCACTTACTCCAGGCTCTTTCAGCTTTTCTAATTCCTCAATGTCCTCACTCTCCTCTTCGTCCTCCGCTTCCTCTTCTTCTCCGAATGCTTCCAAGAGTTCAGTCACCTTTAACACCACCTCCCTCGGATTGCCTAAACGTGCTACATCCTGTATACATTGATGTGACGCAGGAAGCAGGGGAAGCAACAAGTGGACCAGATCCCATCCAATGTTGGCAGTAAGTGTGGTGTCTTGAAGGATGTCGTGTAGAGTAGGGAGCTGCTCGGCCGTGAGATTGTACTCGAGGATGGTGAGGTAGGAGAGGTAGTCTGTCTCTGGTGGCAACGCCTTGAGCAGTGGGTTCTCGCTGTCTGCCATTTTGACGAAGGGGGCATTGAGTTTGGGAAAATGAGGAGGTCAACATGTGACTAGGCCTTAAGGGGTGAAAATAAGCGAACCAATCAAGTCGTTATCAGTACTTTACCACAGAGATACTAGTATGCCAAGCCAGGCGGAAACGGAAGCTGACCGGATTCTATATTATTAGTGTGGGACTCTCGGGGCACAATTATTCAACGGCAAATCAAACGGCTTAGAGATAGCGACGGCATTGCTATCGTCAGCTACAAAATGTATACCCTCAGTATCACAATGTTTGACCTTTCTTTTTGTTGCAATTGCAATTGCAATAGTGATTTCGAAGAGTGTTCCAGGCCCCCCCCTCCTGCAGTCTACTCTTGAACCTGCATCAGATCATTACTTGTACTTCCACATTGTCCGAGCGTTGAGCAGCTTAAGATAGCTTTGAGGCCAACAGATTATATTATACTACTCTACTACGGTATGGACAACGAATTAGATCCAGGACCCTCCATCAAAGGTCAGGATGAGGATCGCCTTGCAGAACTAGGGTACAAGCAAGAGCTAAAGCGCAATTGGTCACTGCTACACAACTTTGGTGTCTCCTTCTCCATCATTGTAAGATTCTAGCTTTTCTATTCTCTTTCTGACCTATCTGCGACTGCATGACATCGTACCCTCATTCCTGTTAGTAACAATGCTGTGAACCAAGACAAGAGGCACCGAAAGCTTCGTTGAGGTCTTGTTTGGACGGATTGTCGCATTGGTGCATTATCAGGAGCATCGATCGATCATCCAACTGACCAGTATCTAGAGCATCATCACCGGGATCACTACTCTGTTCGAGTATGGACTGTCCACAGGTGGACCAGGCGTCATGTCCGTCGGTTGGATCGTCGTCTGCTTTTTCACCTTCTTCGTCGCCCTCGGTATGGCGGAGATCGTATCTGCCATTCCCACCAGCGGAGGTCCCTACTTCTGGGCTGCCATCTTAGCCCCAGATGACAAGTCAGCTTTTTACTCTTGGATCACAGGCTGGTTCAATCTGCTCGGCCAGGTTGCGGTAACGACTGGCATCACATTCGGCTGTGCAGAACTCATTTCCACAACTGCAACTATAGGTACCAGCTACACGGCAACTGCAGGCAAGACGATTGGAATCTATGCCGCTCTTCTGATATCGCATGCACTTACCAACAGCTTCGGCGTTTCTTTCCTCCGATATCTCAACAACACGTCTATCCTTCTCCACTCGGTTGGAGTTACATGTTTCGCCATTGCCATATTGTCTAAAGCACCAATCCACCAGTCGGCCAAGGCAGTCTTCGCTACCTTCTACGATGGAACAGGAGAGACCCCGTCGCCCGGTTGGAGCGTGCGAGCCTCACCTGCTTATGTTGCCGTATGTGGTGTTTTAATGGCACAGTATACCATCACTGGTTTCGACGCTTCCGCCCACTTGTCCGAGGAAACAAACAACGCAGCATGGAATGCACCGCTTGGGGTGCTCATGTCCGTAGGAGTGTCGGCAGTCTTCGGCTTCTTCCTCCTCATTTCGCTCCTCTTTTGCATCCAAGATTTTGCAACTACCGTCGACAGTTCAGTCGGCCAGCCAGTAACGCAGATCTTGATTGATATTTTCGGGGACAAAGGTGCTATCGCTCTGATGACCCTCATCATAGTGTGTGTTTGGCACGCTGGGCTTTTCTCCATGACTTCGAATTCTCGAATGATGTTCGGCTTCGCTCGCGACCGCGGCTTACCTCCATTCTTTACTACAGTGGATGCGAGGTTTGAGGCACCCATCAGGACAATCTGCTTGGCAGCCTTTCTTGCATTCCTACTTGCCATACCTTCGCTTGGCTCCAGTGTTGCGTTCTCGGCGGCTACGTCTATCGCCACCATTGGGCTATACCTGTCATATGGCCTTCCCATCCTGATCGGTCTCATCTATCCAGCCAATTTCAAAAAGGGCCCATTCAACTTGCGTGCTGCGTCACGACCGATAGCCGCTGTGGCCTGCCTATACATTGGCTTCATCACTATCGTGTTCTGTTTGCCAGAGCTAAATCCTGTCAACAGCCAAACATTGAACTACACACCTGTTGCCGTCGGAATTGTAGCTCTATGGGCTTTCGGTAGCTGGTTCTTGTGGGCGCGGAAGTGGTTTACTGGACCCATCAGGCAGATCGAAGCGGAAAGAATGGGCATCCCGGTCATTGAAGATCCTGCAGCCTTTGACAAATACGAGCGTGACGGGAAGACGGATGGGAACGTGAGCATTAAGGCTCCGCTGTAGGGTACAAGAGCCAGTTTTGACTTTCGTTACATATTTGGCCGTGTATCATATCTATCTGTCGCCGATCCGACTCCACGGCGTCTCTGAACTATTACCGTCCCCTTTAGCAGCACGCCAGATAGCGCTCTCCTTTTCCTGATACATCGTCGACTCCGACCAACTTTTCAGCCGAGCATCCGCTCCACGCAAAGCACACGGTTCCCAAACATCTCACAGCTGAGAAACCCGGGCGATCCTGATATCCTTTCGGCATGGCTTCAGTCGGCCATCAGCATCTTCCACGTGGATCTGCACCAGCGACGCCGCCGCGCGAAGTCTTCTTGACGGCAGCATGCGAGCGAAAGAGCCCTCAAGTGAATCAAAGGACCCCTGCCCGTCCCACGCAAAAGCCCCTTTCCCCCATTCTCCCCAGTCTTCCTCTGTCCCCATGCATTCTCTTCTCCATCCCCCAAGCGAAAAGAATCAAACAATATCTCCGTTTGTGTCTCCCCAATCTCCACCATCGTACCCCCATCCCGTCCCGATGACCCCCTCACCACCTGACATCTTTCTCCCCCTTTCCTCTCCTCTTCTCCCGTCCCCTTCCCCTTCCTCCACCTCCACCTCCACCTCCAAGCCCAAATGCATCACCCCCCCCCCCTCCCTCCCTCCTCACTCTCCCGGACATCATCACCCCCCCGACGTCCCCACCGCCCGCGACAGGACCCGCCCCCCCCCCCCACCGCGGGCTACTACACCTCGCCCTCGAGCTCGAACCGCGGCTCCTGCGTCATATCCCTCGTGGAAGGCCGTGCGAAGAAGATGGCATGGTGGGAGGTGAGCGGCTAGCGCGTTGGCGTGCTGCTTGGCGGGGAGGGGGGGTGTTTGGTGGTTACGGTGTTTGGGAAAAGGGGGGGGGCTGTGATGATGTAGGGTGGGGTTGGGAAGGGGGTCGTGTGGCGCTTTTTGGGGGGGATGTGGGGTGGGGTTGTTGATGTGGTTGTGTTGTGATACTACATGCTAAGCTTTGCATTTCCGAACTTGGGCCTGTGTGTGATCTTTGTTCGTGCGCTCGTGGGAACGGTGTTAGGGTTCTTGTGGGCGGGGGAGAAAGAAGGGGAAGAGGTTGAATCGGATCGCATTGGTTGCTCCTTGAAGAGCCCGCGTGACACGTCAGACGGCCCCGTAGCCGACTTTCCCCATCACGGCTCCCTTCTCACTTTCTCCGTCAATTCGAGAAGCCTTTTCCTATCATTACTCTCCCTTGGAAGCGTGTCAGCACGCCCCACGCAAGGAGCAGTATCAGGGGTGGCATACCGGCTTGAAAGGACGCCGTAGCTCTTGTAGGCCCCGGCCTTGGGGGCGTTGAACCCCCAGCTGAATGGGTGGGCGGTGGAGTTCCAGCCGGCCAATGCGGCATCTCTGTCGATGCGTTTGCTGTTGGGCTTGAGGTTCGTTTTCATGATCTCCCGAATCTCTCTTGCGCCTATCACATCATGAGGTTAGAGCGTGGTCTTGCGTCATTGCCAGTGGTAGGGAGAATGGGGGTAGCACTGACGATCGTGCTTGAATGTCCACTCTGCCTTCATTTCTGCTGATAGCTGAGCAGGGGGGGTCGTCGGGAACTCTTGCTTCTTTTGTAGTCGAAGACCCTTTGCGACTGGGTCATTCATCTTCACATCCTCATCGTGTGCCTCAGAAGTAGAATCCTCATCCACGAGCTCAGTGCTTCCCTCGTCCTCGCTCGTGGACCTGAGACCTTCCTCTTCCTGGTTACCGGCAAACCACACAGGCCCAGTACCACCCTCGCCAGCATCCCCGGGCTCATTGCTTCCCTCATGATAGGCTCGGCAAGATCAGATGCGTCGCTATTTGTGTCGTTGCTAAGGGTGGACGCCTCGCTATCCGTGTCGTTGCCAAGGTCAGATACCTCGCTATCAGTGTCGTTGCCAGCTAAACGGATGTATGTTTCGAGCGTCTTGATGGACCCAGAGTCATCCAAGAGCATACAAATGTGAATTGCAGATACATTCAAGAATGTAGAGAGTGAACGATGTCGATCACAGAATGTCAAGAGATGAGTTACAAGCCGCATGATGTCGATGAACTGGGTATTACACAGCTTGCACGACCATGGTCCACCAAGGTTTTCGGTTTCTTGCTTTATGGATTGGATGATAGACATCTCGAATTGGTTCAAGTTGATGAAGTGAGGCTGGATGGATGGGCTTTGTGACGGTGACATTGCTGCACTCATGGGATTAACATCTATCAATAGCTGACATAGTAAGGTCATATACCGTGATAGCTTGTCGTGAGATTCATGATGTCCAATGAAATTGAGACCACCTTGAGTGCAAGACAAGATAGGAAGAGACGTGACGAAAGGCTCCTTTGTATATAACTGGTGTTGACACTAGCTATCCATTATGTCGCCGAGATACTAGCCATCTATAGTGTCTCGGCGACAACAACGACGACATCACTAGAGTGAAGGTACAGCACATGTTTATATATAACGGAACAAGGAGCTTGTTACCCCGAGATCCACGATCTCTTTACAGTACGACCCCTTCTTGATTAGCATTCAGGTATTAAGCTCCTGCAACGTCAGGACCAGGTAAACATTCAGCAAGTCTTACAACATATTCCAAGGTTTCCATGGAGTTACACGCCCTCGGAATGTCACCAATTTGCTTCAACAGCAAAAGACATCATCTCATAAGGCAGAGCAGAGGGAATCAGGTCGTACAATAGCCGTAAGATAGATTTACTAGCCCACAGAGAGCGCTCTGGCGTTAAATCCATTGGCGCAGAGAACACCATTCTTAGATGCCGCACATCCGCCGGCGTAGTGCTATCGCTTGTGATGGGTTCTGGCGCCGTCTTGATGGAAGAGAGATTGGCAGGAATCTTGAACAGCCTCCGGATACCAGTCTCCACCGCAACGACATACAACTCTTTGCCATCGTCACTCCAAGCTACACTGTAGGGTGACAAGTGCCAGTCTTTCTCACTCTGCTGCGTGGGCATATTGTCAATGGCCGTATGAGCTCGAAAGTCACGGATGTTGTCAACCACGATCACTCGTTTCCTGTCATTGGAGTCTGCAAGCTCGCGCCTTTTCAGAAACGCTACAGAGTTACCGCTTGGAGAGAATACCGGGTTGGAGCTCCGCCCTCCGAAGCCTTTTATGTTGATGATCTGAGGTCTTGGCCTTGACATTTCAGTAGAAGTCTTGAGAGGAATGTAGTAGACATTGAGACTGGCAGGCTGGGTTGTACAGCTCGGTCCATCTTTTGCAAGAAAGACAATACCACTTGTGGAAATATCGAAGTCGGTCGAATGTCCAAACGGAGAGCGAAGAGGTGATTCCAAACCTGTGCCTCTCAGAGCAGTGACGAACCTCGTTGGAGAGGTTATGTATTTCAGCTCTGCTGTGCTGCTGCTCATCGCCTTCTTTCGAAGCGTGGTTTACCATATCGCATTTTGTATCTCGCTGGTCGATCCTTCTGTGTCATGGTTGTAAAGACTGCCGTTCGATGTGGCGGAGCAAGCCACAGCTATTGCTATGTCGTCGTACTGGCCGTGAAGCCTGTGCAGCTTGAGATGGGACGCCTTCGCGCTGATCCTGCGGGCGCAATAGCCACTCCCTCGTTGCGTACACGAAGACCCCACCGAGGCTCTCTTCGATAACGTTTTGAAATTCACATAATTCTGACCTGCATCTTCTGCGTCCGCAATCCAGAATTCCGTTGCTCCAAAATCTACGTCCTTCAGCCAAAGCACCAAGTCCCCCTTTCCAAGCCATTTGGCTTCCGTATCTCGTGGATCTTCGGAGAAGAGGTTTGAGGTCCCGGTAAGGATCCTGATCTCAGTAATATTTGCATGGCTCCCGGGTGTCTGTGTATCGACGGTGTAGATTGCTTCGGTGCCTTGCTTGTTCGGGATGGCGGCCGAGCGACGAGAAAAAGATGGTATGAAGCTTAGAACCATTAGAAGCTTTGTACTATGGGCATTGTGGGATCAAAGGCTCACCTGGTTGTAGAAGCACTCGAGGCACTCCGAGCGTGCATGCCCGCTATTACTTGTTCACTCAAGCCTTCCGACAGCAGGACAATGATCGAGCAGCTTTGATGGTACAAGGTATATATAGTTCCTGATTGTTCTAGCGGAGCAGCCGCTGATGCTGGTGATGCCGTTAATTACATTGCGCTGGTCAGTTCACACCGCTTGGTATTAGCCTACTGCACGTGGGGAAGTCGGGAAAAGTTGCTACGGGAAAAGCGCCGCTCCATAACCAAATGAACCAACATCTTTTCCACGTCTATAACAATTACATCTTGCTCAATGGAAGATCAATATCAAAATCGCGGTAAACAACAACAACAACCACCTTTGTGATTCTCGACCCCCCCCCCCTCAACAGTGCGTACCAAGATGGCGCGCGAAGGGGAGCCCTTACACCGGTCTCTGATCAGAGACACTACAGCATACTTATCCTATATCTTACTAGTTGTTGCTCTTGGGCCCCTTCAGTTCGGCTTCCATCTGGTATCAATCCTTCCCTGGCCAATGCTCTGCAACAGCTAACACTACCTAGGCCGAGCTCAATGCTCCTCAGAATGTCATCACCTGCGAAAAGAAGAGCATCAACAGCGCCGCCCTACATCCCGAGCTCCCTCAATGTATCCCTATGAACACTGATCAATTCGCCGTCGTCTCTTCGATCTATACCCTCGGCGGACTTCTCGGAGCTCTCGCCGCGGGCCCATTGTGCAACAAATTTGGACGACTGCTCACCATGCGCCTTACAACGATCTTCTTCGTCATAGGCCCTGTATTCGAGAGTGCTGCTCCTAGCATTAGTCTCCTAGCCTTTGGAAGAGTACTCTCCGGAGTTGCATCAGGCTCAGCAGTCGTCGTCGTGCCAATCTACATCTCGGAGGTTGCACCGCCAAAAGAGAAGGGGTTGTTTGGAGCTTTGACGCAGATAATGGTTAATATGGGCATCGTGATTGCGCAAGTCTTGGGGTACTTCTTAAGCAAGGACGGTCTATGGAGAATCATTCTGGCCGTCGCCGGGGGCATCGGGCTCTTCCAATTGCTTGCGTTGTCACTGGTCCCGGAAAGTCCAAAGTGGCTGGCTGAGAACAGGAATCCGCAGCATGCGCGGCATATCTTGCGAAAAATGAGAGGGCAAAAAGCGGACCTGGATGAGGAAGTCAAGGCATGGAATATTGACAGCAGTCGAGAAGATATCGGTGCATCTCTCATAACATACTCTATAAAAATCACTAGCTAACGATTCTCAGCGGAAGAGGAATCGCTGCTCAGCGCGCCGGCTGGCTCACATCCTTCTCAAAATCCTGACGCTGCCTCAGAGACAGTTGGCATCTTCAGTGCTTTCATGCACCCGAGCTACCGGCCGGCCATCATCGCAGTCGTTGCCGTAATGGTCACGCAGCAGCTGACAGGTATCAACAGTATCGTCATGTACTCCGTCAGCCTACTATCCGCCCTTTTACCCACGAAGGCCGCCCTGCTCACAGTTGCCATCTCCGCATTGAATCTCGTCATCACCACTCTCTGCGCGCCTCTTTCTGACAAGATTGGGCGCAAGACCTGTATCCTTCTGAGTATAGCTGGTATGGGTACCAGCTCTATCTTGCTAGCGATTGGTATTGGCGAAGGCGTCAAGATACTCGCCGCCATCGCCACGCTCCTTTTTGTAGCCTCCTTCGCCGTAGGCTTGGGGCCAGTCCCTTTCATACTCGCCAACGAGCTTGTGGGCCCGGAAGCAGTGGGCGCAACCCAGAGTTGGGCTCTGGCAGCAAATTGGCTAGCTACATTCATCGTCTCGCAATTCTTTCCAATCCTGAACAAGGCTATGGGCGAGAAAGGACGAATCTACTATGTATTTGCAGGGCTGGCCTTGGTGCTGGGTGCTTTCATTGCCTGGTGGGTACCAGAAACCAAGGGAAAGAGTGGAGCAGATGAAGTTTGGGGAAAAAAAGAAGCTCGGCAACGGGTCGAATGAGAGTAAAGTATTCTTTGAAAATGGAACCGGGATAAGGCGTCAACACTGGGATCGGACAGTGATTGTTTTTGTACAAACAAGGCGTTGGGCTGCCGAATTTTGGATGTGTCACGTATATAGGCCGTGTAGTTGGCAGTGCCTGGCGGTTACAACCCACGAAATCGTGAATTTCCAGGCTTGTGGACTACATAAAACTGCTGACCATTTTTCACGTATCAGGCAAGTTGTCAGAATAAGCGGCAAGCCTGTCATTTAGCTTGTGGAATACCTGAATCATCGTTAATGTTTGGGGATTGAGCCCCTCGGACTCTATAAGCTCGAGAAGAACTAGTATTCATTCGTCTAAAACTCTTGGGCTTAGGTACGTTTCTATGGCAATATAGTTCTTGTTGCACGCGCTTTTATGCCAAAGGCCTTTTCGCTGATTTCTGTCATCCGAGCAATCCTGTGTTAGCATAAAGCTTTTTGAGCTGTATGGTTAATCATTGATGTACACACTGCAGGGCCTTGCTGCCCTCCTACTGCTGCCCTCTTCCCCGCTCGGTGTTGTGCGGTGACGTCTGTCTACATACAGGGCTGCAACCATTTGCGCGAAATATGTGTTTCTCGACGCAAGATTGTCCGTCCCATCTCGGGGGATATCGCTACGCTTGGTCTCAACTGAAAGCCTGACTACCGAGATAAAGGCTCAAGAATGTTTTAGAAGAAGTCTTAAGCAGTTTCACTGCTTTCGTAACCTCACATTCGCTCTTCACTTGCGTCGGCCTCCTCCTCTGCTACCTCCTAGGTAACAATTGCGGGAAATCAATGTCGCACATACCAGGCCCCGCAATCGCCTCCCGTACGGGGTTCTGGCGACTGAGGGACGTTCGCCGAGAGTCTGGACATCTTACTCACATCGAATTGCACCAGCAGTATGGGCCTCTGGTGCGGACAGGGCCCAACCACATTCCGTTCGTGACCCAAAGGCTATACGAATCACATGTGGCTCGAAAAGTGGATTTATCGAAGTGCGAAATGCAGGCCGCTGTGGTCAGGAATAGGCTGATCTTTGAATCTAGACGGCATTCTATCCCGTCAGTTCCGTAACATGGCCGAAAAGACCGTAGATGGATCTGTTCTCTACTAGAAATGAAGCTTATCATCGAGACCAGATGTGACTGGTTGCCAGCGCTTATAGTATGAGTTCGTTGCTGGAAATGGAGGATGCAGTGGACTCTTGCTCAGGTCTACTCACAAAGCGATTTGACGAATTCGCAACAGCTGGCAATGGTCTTGATCTCGGAGTAAGTACACTCGTCCCAGTCTTCGACAGAATTCCATTGTACGCTGAGACTGCTACCAGTCCTAGCTCCAATATCATGCCTTCGACGTTGTCGGCGAGCTCACTTTCGACGAGAAGGTCGGCTTCCTCGAACAAGGCATTGACGAGACGGTATAATGGAAACAATGGCAGGAATTTTTGGATACTCCATCCAATGCGGTCAATTACCCTACATGCATAGATTCTTGCTTGGCAACCCTCTCATTCTCTTCCTGATTCTTTCCATGGAATCTTGGGATCAAGTCTTAAACTTCACACTAAAAGCCATCAACTCTCGGGGTACACCAAATCGCAACGGCGAATTGACCACCACCGAAAGAGGCAAAGTAGGGAAGGATCAGCCGTCGAAGTGGATCGCAGCTAAAGAATCCAACCCAACCAGATTCAGTACTCGCGATATCGTTGTGCACACCTCCGCAAATGTCTCCGCAGGCAGCGACACAACTGCCATCGCTTTGCACGCCATCTTCTACAACCTCGTGCGCAACACGTCCACAAAAGACAAGCTAATCGCCGAAATCGACCAAGCGCGAGGGGAAGGCAAACTAGGAGGTCCGACCAGCTATAAGGAAATCACGGCCCATTTGTCCCTACCTACAAGCCGTGATCAAAGAAGCAACGCGCATCCACCCCAGCGTCGGACTCCTGCTCGAGCGCCACATCCCACCAGCCGGCGTCGAGATCTGCAATAAGCATATCCCAGCTGGCACGATCGTCGGCGTCAATGCGTGGTTCGTGCACCGTGACCCAGTTGTGTTCCCGGAGCCGGAAAAGGTTCCTTCCAGAGAGACGGATCGAGAGCGGGGCGGAGAGGTCGAAGGAGATGGAAGCTAGCTTCTTCGCTGTTGGGACGGGAAGTAAGGACGTGTACTAGGAAAAACTCCAGTTCGGTGGAAATGGGTACGATTGTGCCGCTATTGTTGAGGACTCACAGCGTATCTTCGGTAGATCCGGAGAAGGATTGGGTGGTGCGTAACAAATGGTAAGTCATCTAGCCGAGTTGGCGCCCTGTTGCGTTTCACCATCAGCTCTGAATTTTTTCGTCGTTTTACCGATTATGATCGCCGCGAATGTGATACATGGAGGCAGTTTGCGAGACTTGAACCACACTGCCTGTGTCCAATGGGCTTCGTTTGCTAAACGAGTCTTACGAGTCTCGTCCCTATCGCATGTGCTCGCACACATCTCAGCGTCTGCTCCCAGATGTCCTCGAGTCGCGGTTCCACGCACGAGACCCATGCGCTCCCTTGTTCTCGGCTCGCTGTTCCAGGTTTGACCAGCAGTCTAGATCCCATGAGCAGTTTCATGTGCCTTTCAATGCTTTCGAAGTCTGTAAGAGTTAGATCTGGCAGCCCAAATGTCAGCGTCCCGATCTGCATCCTTGATCTATTTCCCACATGGATTTCTGAGAAACACCTGCAGATATTTTCGACCGCAACCTCACGGTAGGTAAAACGTCTTCTTCGAGCCTCCGCGCAGGCCTGTTTGCAAGCGGCAAGGAGCGGGAAACCAGGAGGTTGGGAAGTTGAGGACGACTTCATATCCTCGCCTCTGGAGAGATGTTTGTACACGCGACCTATCACACCTCGAAGCAGTCCGCGCTCTTCAGGGTTTCCGTCGGGCTCCGGGGCGTCAAGTTGTATCTCGTCCGGGACCAGGACAAACCGCATGATTATATCGCGGATCTCCGCTGGCGAACGAGAAGAAGCCTGTTGGGTGCTGACGCTCACGGCTGGAAAGTGTAAAGGTCTGCGATGTGCGGTGGACGTGTTCAAAGTGTCTGTGTGGGGTTCTGCTGGCTTGACCTATTTCGACGGTGATTGAACGTGGAGACCGAGGAGCTTGAAGACGTGGGGTACAAGAAATGTGATAACCTGATGATGTGGGAGGTATAAGGTATTTACGGAAAGTGTGCTCTATTGTGCGTGTCTTGGACAAGACCGATCGATAGTGTCAATGAGCCTCTTCGGCCATGGGTACAGGGCACTAGCTGCCCAGCCTCAGATATCAGCGGATCTGCCAACCAGCCATGGTGCACAATAGCGCCGGAATCATTTCTAGAAGAGCGAAGCTGATTTAGACATCTTTGAGTAGAAGCACAACCATTTTTCTAGACGGCGTTTGCGATGATGAGACATAGTTGCTTTTTCGAGGCCCCGTCGACACTATTCACGTGAAACCCTACGTCTACTGCAAGTGCGACCGCCTCTTCGCCATACACGCTTCGTTATCGCCACAATTATTTGTCTCTCAACAACAGTCTATCTTCTGGAACTTCACTCGGCATTTTCGTGTTTCCTTACGTATCACCGTTACATTTCTTAAGACGAGATACTAGCCTTCAAGAACTCGATCGAAGCAACTCCTGCAAAGAAGATAACAAACCGTAAATGATCGAGTCAGGAAATTGTGAGATCAACACTATTAGAAACTAGCAGTTCTAGTGACCGATTCGGGCGGAGGGAGTCTGCTGGATGCAGGTGGATTGTGTAAGTACGTAACGAGTCTTTAGGCGTGCTATCCGAACAGTTCGGTTTCTAACAGCTAAGACACAGACAAGTTAATAGTCGAAGGAAGTTGCATTCATATCCTTCACGCCGTCCGCTTTTTATGTCTTTCATTGTCACAATTTTATCTTGACCCGAGCAAACTTATGCCATAACGGTGAAAGCAATCTAGCATTGTCCTACCTTAGACAACATAGCACCAGTAGATCTGATTTGTGGCAAATGTTGTCCATACGCTTGTTTCAAGATTGATGTGCTGCCCTATTGATGAAACTTGGCATGGTGGCAACGGGCCGGCTATTGAACACATCAACAAATGATTGGTCGAATGCACCACATTTTCCTTGTCACATCGCCCCTAGAATCTCGGTCTTCAATACAAAGCATTCAGATCCCTCTGTCCTCTTCTTCCTTTTACCTTTCAATATTCGAAAATCCGAAGACACTCTCTCACCTCCGAAACAACATACCCTTCTATCGCTATGTTGTATTCAAACCTTCTCAAAGGTCCCTTCAGCATAGCCCAAGATCCCACCGTCACCCACGTCGCGAGTATTCTCGCTACCATCGCCGTCGCAGACTACAAGAAACAACCGCCCGTGGGCTACTTCTCCTTGCCGGCGGAAATCAGAGACATGATCATGGAGCTTGTCTTTGTCCAAGGGTCAATGATTCTCGACTCCAAAAGTCCGGTCAAGCGCGAGCGCAAGGCTTCTCTGCTGCAGGGGGCGGTCCACCGCGTGATGAAGACCGTCGACAGACACGGCGGCCATGAGGACTCGAAGCCGCCACGTGTCCTTCAGCCTCCCGGCTTCCAATTCCTGGCCACGTGCAGGCAGGCTTGTGCGGAAGGCCACGCGGCTTTCTACTCTTCGAACGTCTTCGACCTGCTGCCGGGTCCGCTCTCGAATACGCTCCGCGGCTTGAAGGCCCTCCAGCCTCAGCATCTTGCGATCATCAAGAGGGTTGGATTGACAATAGGCTCGCTGGACCTGACGCCCGCAATCCGCGAACGCGTTCACCAGGAACTGCGAGTGCGCTATGGGGCTGCGTGGACGGATGGGCCGAGTCTCGCGCGTTCAATCCGATGGAGTACTCGGGTAGAATGGCGACTGAAGTGCCTGTGGAGGGCGAAACTGGACTTCATTCTAACTCAGTGGGAAGGATTGACGGTGCTCAAGATTACGAATGCGGAAAAGTCGCTCGAGCTCGACGCCGATGATGTGGCAAAGACCGTGGAGTTCCTTGAGGGGATGAACGGAGATATCTTCCGGTCGCTGGAGATCCGGGAGTTGGTCTGGCGGGCGGAGGAGCTCGTTCAGGAGGAGGTTCAGGACATGATCGAGACGGATGGCTGGAAGGCTCTCGAGGCGGAGGTCGAGAAGATCGCTTCCGGGATGAGCGATTGATGGAGCTGATGTACGACAAGTCGGACATTGTGACGGGCCATGAAATGTTTTTATACGCTTGTTGAACAAGGTCCACACTCGACAGTCGGGCTAGAAGACGAGGAGGCTGATAGTATACTTCGAGCCGCACAATCAAGGGCATGAGGGCTACACTGTACCGTCGAGACGATACGTGTAGTGCTTTGCGACTTTCATAGAGAAAGAACGCTGCTGCAAATCTAGTCTTCATCTTCTGCGGAACTGTACAGCTACCATTGGACGAGCATGAGATTGGCAAATGAAAGTCTCGGTTTTTCAAACACACTCACTTCAGTGCTCCATTAGAATTAGACTGGCAGGCTTTGAGGGACTTCTCGATGACGCATCGAGCGGGACATTGGGTTCTTGCAGCCCTTGAGAACAGGCACCTTTATCCGCAAACTAATTCCGGGTTTGGTTTATTTTTGATACGCTCGAGTCTTTCCTCTTGATACCGTCACTCAAGTCTCCCATTTACACTATCCGTGCGGATTGGACATACATCTTCGCGACAATCCCAGAAGCTCCTTTATTTTATCCATTCCTACCCAGAATCTTATCAGCATTCCGCTAACTGCATCGAGAGCGTTTTCGAACTAGACAACGAGTGATTTTTACATCGTGATTTCTAGCAATACTTAGCAACATCGACCAGAATTCCGTGAAAACCTCTCCCAGAACAGCACTTCTCCGCGACAAAATACGCGGATTCAGGATGAGGCCGTTGACGAATCTATGAAGATTAGGTAAAATCATCCTAATCCAAGTATTGCAATGTATAAAGCCGCCAATCAAAAAATCGGATCGACTCGGAGAGGTCTCACTTATCGACGCCGAGAGCTAGTGGCTTACTCCTCGCCACCAGGAGAGATCCGAAACGAAATCATGCGTCTCGTATTTCTACCCGGCGATGTCCACATCCGAGGAAGCCAGAAACACGGCGTGATAGCAAGACTCAAACGATCCTGGGAGGCGAGAGTCCACCTAGAGATCCCGCCCGTGCCTTCGCTGCCAGGGTTCCAGCCACCGGCAACATGTAAGCAAGCGTATGCCGAGGGCCGTCATATGTTTCATCATTCCAATACATTCTTCCTGCCTCCCGGCGAGTTGGATGAGACGCTCAAGCAACTCTTCACAAACCTCCAGGCCCAAAACCGTGGCATGGATCCGCAACGTCGGCGTCACCTTGGGGCCTCGAAGACTTGACGCCTGCAGTGTCCAAGCAAGTGCAGGACAGCAGGAAACCGAATCTGGAATCCCCGCCCTCAAACCAATTGGCACAAGCATGGGGCGTCGCAGTCCAAGCACACTGGTCGGATGTATGGCGGCAGAAGATCGCGTTCTCGAGAGGCACAAGGGACCTGGAACTTGCTACCGAAGGCGGCATGCTTAGGCTTTCCCGCCCGGCGTATCCATCTCACGTTCAAGGAATTCCGGTCGCAACGGCGGTGACTGGTATCCGCCACGTGAAGATTTCCTGGTGTTAGCGTTCCAAGGGGCGTGTCAGAAAGGAGGTTGCAGACAGACTCGACCGGAACGGATGGCGCGGGCTTGAGTTAAGGGGGAAGGGTTCCATTTTCGTCCTCCAATGGGGTATGAATTTTTAAGTTGTCATTGATAGGGGTATGATTTTCTAAGTTGCCATAGTGACCTGAAACCGCCATCTAAGGGCCTACTTTCGATATTTAACTAGATACGAGTTAAGACCCCTTGTCAACATCAGCGTAATCCCGACTCTAGAATCGTTGATATTCTTCTCGCGAAGGGGCGTCAGCGTCGAATCATTAGGGGCGGGGTTTTAGGGTAGAGTTTCGGGGCGGGTTGGGGAGGGTAGCCTATAACCCGCTCTATCTTAGGCCGATAAGTCGTTAGTCTCTAAGATTGAGTAACGTCTTATTACGATTTAACGTCTCAGTCTGTCTACTCTCTATCCTACTTACTATATAATAAGATTCTTATAGATAGATATCGAGACAGCTGCATCTACAGGTTGATGATATCTTATATTTTCATATCTTTAGAAATGCGAA